AGATACATTTAATGTTTTTTTTTGTTTCAATGCATACTCGTACTTTATATGTTCTCAGAACGTTGTTACTGACATGAAAAAGTTATTTACCTGATATTTCTTTAAAATATAAATGTAATTTAGCTTAGGATAAATTTAGTAAAGCAAAGCGATCATAAATTCATTTATATGCTTAAAAGTACTAAGGTAGATTTTAAAATTGGTTGTTCATTCATTTAATAATTATTTTATGGATATTGATTACATTTATTTGTATGTACATATTAATCACATGATGGGGTTTGTGAGTGATGAATTTCACTGATTTGTACTAGCATAAGTTTTTTTTAATCTTTGATATTTTGATTCATGTTTATAAAATTATATTATAATTTTATAATTTTTGTTTGTTATATTTCAGTAAGTACACAAAATTTATTATTACTATTATTATTATTATTATAAAAAATCTGAAAAAACATAAAATCTATAGTTCTTCTCTAAATATTTATAAAACGAAACATGCTAGGCATATAAAACTTCATACCAAAAGAAAGGTTGTGATGTGTTATACTAAATAAAATACTAATATGCAGATTGTTCCATCAAAAAAAATTAAAAATTTCATAATTAATTAAAATAATAAATTTTGAATTTGTGTCTGCCCAATGACTTGAGTGCCTGATGAAGCGGGTATGCTGAAATGAGTCGTAACGCTCTGTGGTTAACGATTTGAGCACGGGAAGTTTAACAAATTTGTCCTTGTAGGTTATATATTTGGTCCCTTAATACAACAAAGCGATAAAGCTTTTGCTAAAAGATTGGAGACTGTCTAACTCAATAAGCAGTGATAAAACAGTGGAAATTATTGAAAACCTTTCACACTGTAACTCTTAAAGGTCTCGATCAGATGAGAGTAGAAAAGAAACAAAGCAAGACAGATGTTACTATTCCATATATTAGCGGAAACGTTCCTTTTTGTGCTTACAAAAGAGCATCAATCCAAATCTGCAAGAGTAATACTCTTTTAGAACGATTAGTGATCGCTCTTTAAATTAAAACAGAATGACAATAAGGAACCTCCCATGTTGATAGAAAGGAGAATAATAATGGAAATCTGAATTGCTGCTTATGTAATATTATTCTCCTTTCTATCAACATGAGAGGTCACTTATTGGCGTTCTCTCTTAATTTAAAGAGCTTAACTAATACTTCTAAAAGAGTATTACTCTTGCAAATTTGGACTGATGCTGTTTTATAAGTACAAAACGAAACGTTTTCGCTAATATATGAAATAGCAACATCTGGCTTTTTTTGTTTTCTCCTCTTATCCTACTGAGACCTTTAAGAGTTACAGTGTAAATGGTTTCCAATCCTTTCCACTGCTTTATCACTGCTTATTGAGTTAGACAGTCTCCGGGTATGTGGTCTATATTAAACAAAATTATTTAATATAGACCACGATATTTCCAACATACTTATAAATTGTTCTTTGGTCGAAATAAGCACGGTATATGTATACATATATACATATATATATATATATATATATATATATATATATATATATATATATATGTATATATACAGATTGAACGAAATAAATTCGGAACATAGGAATATAATGTATTTCGGCTAAATTCTGCTGTAGGTGGTTGGCCAACAAAAGATTGTCAAATAATTACATTATATAAAATCCCATATTTCAGCGGGCTGCTGGATTCTGAACTCATAAAAATTGAAAGCTACACATAAATCTACGATTTTATTATGCTGTCAAACCAGTTATAGTCCAGGAAATGTAGCATTTCACCTCGCAATTTTTTCGTGCGGCGTAGATTGACTTGAAATTTAACAAAAGGTAGGTAATAGCCTAAGGATCAAAATCTATATCGAACCAAAGTGCGCCAAAGCCTAGGGGATGGTTGCCACCCCATCTCCGGGGTGAAAATTTTTTTTACGTTTTAACTACAGGTTTCGATTAGAAAAGTGATTCTAAACAAAAAATGTGCTATACATTTTTTTTTATAAAATGATATTTTTCAAGTTATTCGCGATTGAAAGTAACAACTTTTAGACGAAAAAATCCACGTTTTTAATCGATTTTTCGCGAATAACTCGAAAATGGTGCATTTTATCAAAAAAATTGTAAAGAACAAATTTGTAGCTTTTAAAAAGACAAATACAATTACAAATACAATATTAATGTTCAGCGGTTTTCATAAAATGCCAAATTTGAAAGATTCAAAGTCAAATATCGGGAAAATGATGCATTTTTGGAAGAAAACTCACAAAACCTTTTTTAAAGAGCATAAATAGACCTATCATAAAAAAATAAGGTCAATACCTCATTTTTTACGAATAAATCGAGGAAAACCACACCCTAACCACCCCCATAATTAAAATCGATCTTCACCCTTCTGCAATTCCCTTTGTAGATGTATTGTTAATACGTCCAAGAAGTTTGACCCATTTAAAATGCTTAGTTTTAGAAAAAGTACAGCTTAAAGCGAGAAACGATTTACAATTTCATATTTTTTACCCTTCTTTTTTTAAATATGCCCGAAAATACTGAATATATGAAAAAAATAAAAATTACCAAATTGTAGCTTTTTTAATGACTAAAATTATCCTTTATGTAGAATTGTTGTACAATGAATATTTGGCGAGATATAGCCGTTTAAAGCATCGATTTATGATCAAACACCATCTTTTTCGAGCCCTTTAAACTCACCCCATTTAAAAACCAAGGGTTCCAAAAAGATTTAATTCACAGATCCTTGTAGCTATTAAAAACCTCTACAAATCGTTTTTGAAGAAACACTCTATCATTAAAAATTAAAGGAAATACGTTAAAAAAACCAGTTAGTTTTTTTCCGGAAAATTCCATTAGTATAGTACAGTACTTTTCGGAGCATAATAATCTACAAAACCGGTATATTAGCTAGTGGGGCGTTATACATTCGAAATTTTAAGCGTTCTTATTTTGAAATCCCATACAACAGAATAAAACATCTGCTCATATGTCTATGGCTTAGCAATGAAAATATCAGAGCAACAGATTGGGGATGGTATTTCAAAGATGGTTTGTTATTACCCGTACGCATGAACAAACAACCTGCCCCCGACAAATTTTTGAAAATTATTTTTTGCCAATGCAAAAAATATGCGGCGTTTCATATGGGTGCAGAAAAGTTGGTTTATACTGTAACTCTACTTGTTGTGGGTGCTCAGGTGAAGGGTGCAATAACAGTCCACCAATAATTGAAGAAGATGAGGATGACATAGATCACGATGAAGATGTAATTGATGACGAATAAAATTAATATTATAATTGTTTTACCTATAAATGTAAATATTTTCAAATATTTATGTAAATATATAAGAATATATGGTGCCTTTTTATGTTAATAATTTTTTTTTGTATTTAATTCTACTTTTTTCAATTTATATCTTATAAATTAGTTTATAAAAACTGCAATGTTGTAAAGGGTGATTTTCAACAGTTGAAAAGTTGCAAAATTTTGGCAAAAAATTGTTTTCACCTATAGCACTCATAACAATTGATTTTTAAGGGTTGAAAATGTATGAATTTGTATTTTAAAGTATAAAAAACTCACTATTTAACTAATCCAAACCAAATTTCACTCATCTTAAGATTTGTAATATTATTTTACAATTTTTGAAAATTAGGGGTAGTTTTCACCCCTAAGAACAATCAGGGTTCATCGGCGTGACATAAACTATAAAGCAGAGGGTGAGTTGAGCTTAATTCCAAATTTTTATGCAAATCGTTCCAAGGTGAAATCATTTTCTTCGCATTACTTTCTTCGCATCAATTTTTTTATATTAATCTCTAATAAGGGTCGCTTTTTAAGGGTTGAAATATAAAGGAACTTTATTCAAAAGCACGAAACTATCATCATTTAATTATTTCAAACCAAATTTTACCCATATTCAGGTTTAATATGTTATTTTATAATTTTTGACAATTAGGGGTAGTTTTCACCCCTAAGAACACTCAGGGTTCGTCGACATGACATAAACTATAAAGCAGCGGGTGAATTGAGCTTAAATCCAAATTTTTATCCAAATCGATTCAAGGCGAAATCATTTTTTTAGAATTAGTAATTTTTTACATTAATCTCTAACAAGGGTTACTTTTTAAGGGTTGAAATATGATGGAACTCTATTCAAAAGTATAAAATAATCATTATTTAACTAATTCAAACCAAGTCTTACCCATATTCAGGTTTAATATGTTATTTTATAATTTTTGACAATTAGGGGTAGTTTTCACCCCTAAAACCCTTCAGCGCATTTCGGTTCGATATAGATTTTGATCCTTGGGCTATTACCTACCTTCTGCTAAAATTTCAACTGGATACAAGAAGGACGAAAAAATTGCGAGGTTGTAACTTTTTTCGAACTTCATTTCCTGAACTATTATCACCTCCTTAGACAAACCCGTCTTACGCAAACAACTTTGTTGCGAGACAGATAGTTGAACGATATTTTATACAATGTCTATATCCAGGTATGGATTGATTTTTGTCCAAGTTTTATATTGGTCCACTATTTCAAATGCAGTTCAAACAGACATGTATTAAATTGTATGTTCCGTTTTAATTTGGTTCAATCTGTATATATATATATATTATATATATATATATATATATATATATATATATATATATCTATACATATATATATATATATATATATATATATATATATATACATATATATATATATATATATATATATATATATATGTATAGATATATATATATATATATATATATATATATATATGTATAGATATATATATATATATATATATATATATATATATATATATCTATACATATATATATATATATATATATGTATATATATATATCATCATCATCACCCAGCCCTTTGCGTCCACTGCTGGACATAGGCCTCCCTCATTTTTGTCCATTGTGCTCTGTTTTGAGCACTTTTATATATATATGCCTAATGTTTAAAAGATTTACCGTTTGAAAAAAGAAGTTCTAGTATACACCTTAGTTCCTTCCAACCAACTTCTAATTCTTTATCAGCATAGTTATCGAATACATGTCTAATTCCTTTATCGGCAGCCACACCATCTACTGTATCTACAGGTGCACGTAACTATAAAAAAAAATAAAGCTAATTGTGTTGATTGATCAATAAAAATATATCCCTACCCCTCCTAACGGTACTGTTGGATCTATTAACCGAACATCAACTTCGTGTTCACTAAAAAAGAAATTTATTAATTATGGTATAGAAGCATATCGATTTAAAGATTTGTTTCAACTTTTGTTCTCTGATTTTTTAAACTTAATTTATTAATTTAAATTAATACTACTTAACTTGCTTTAAAAAATTTAATTTCACTTACTTAACATCAAATGTAACAGTAGAGTATACCCGTAAAAGAAATTCACAGCTTGCTTGAGGTTCATCTGTAAATGGTACTATGCAGTAGGATCCTTTTGGTAAATCTAGGTGTCCCGTAACCTGTGTATTGTTCTCTGGTTCTCGAACATAGACAGGTTTAATTGAGGAAAAAAAATTCTGCGTTAAACGTCCAGGAGAAACGAATTTTAGCTAAAACATAATTATGTAATTTTAATATTTCTACAAAATTCGATAATTTGTGTATCGATGATGAGGTTATGTGACGTTTCAAAATAGTAAATCAATAAATATAACAAGAATAGTGAATAATAACAGTATTTTAAAGAAATTCTATTTAGTAATAATGACAATGGTAACAATTATTAGAATCGAGAAATCAATTTAGAAAATTTTAACAATTTGAAGTGCATTGCATAATTCATTTAGTTATCAATCACACTTTCGCAAAAGAAGGCGCCAACCCTAACTCTAAATAAAAGGCGCTAGACCACCAAAGCTTTTTAAATCAATTTTTTTTAAAGAATGTTTTTTTATTTAATATAAATTTGAATCCATAACTTTAATATCCAAGGCGGGGAGTTTCTCTCTCTTTCTCTATCCTGCGGTATAATTTTTCATACTCCTTGAATACTCAAATAAATTTTAAAAACGTGTGAGTAAATCTGCAACTGCTTCGTCAAAAATTTACTTGTTCAAAATTTTTTAAAAAAACCATGATGATTCGACACAAAACAGAGAAACCTATCGTTTGATGGTCGCCAACCTTCGGTAGAAGACGGCACATAAAGAAAGAGAGATGATTGGTGGTCAATAGAAACTCCATTTATGATTGTTTTTTAGATTTTTTAGTGCGCTTTGAGGCTCTATAAAAAATACTTTTAAAAATGGGAGTATTTTATTATTCTATATATGAATCTGATGCCTAACTTTAAGTTTGGTTGTCAATATTGACTACTCGCGCATGCTCAGTTACTCTGTCATCACTAGAGTTTAAATTTCAATTAAAACATACCAAATAATTTAAAATATTTTGTCAAGTTCCATTTTCTTAAAAGGAAACTTATCAACATGTACATTTGTAATTTTATAGGTTATTTTACTTTAGCTATAAGGAAAAAATGTGTTCTTACCGGGCTTTCGATAGTTAGTATGAACTGTGAACCCTTCGTAATAAGAAGTGACTCAAAGAAGCAACACGTAAAGTAGTTCTTTGTGAAAAGCAATACTTTGTTTCACCCATTTTCTCTTAACTAACGCAATACTTTGTGTAAAGTGTATAGTTTCGCTCATTACAGGTAATAAACTCAAATAGTGCTCTGTCAGAAGCAATACTTTGTTTTGACATTTTCTCTCAATTAACACAATACTTTGTGTAACGCATAGCTCCTGTTTCGTAAGCAATAATAGTAAAGTGCTCCGTGAAATAGTAATACCTTGTTTCTCAAATCTCTCATAACACAATTCTTTGTGCTCCACGTAAATTCAACACTCTCAGATCCGCTGCTACCACACTCGCATTGGACTTCACCAACTCCACTTTTGTGCTAAAGACTGACATTTTTTGTGACACGAACTATTAACACCCGAATTGTAAGTTTTCAAGTTTTAAGTTAAATTTATTGTTCTACCATTATTTCTAAATGTTGGCTAGAATAGGGATTTCAGAATTTATATATCAACGATACTAAATATATCAACTTCAGAATTGACAATTGCGCATAAATTGGCACTACATCATCTCTGTTTAAAAGGCTCTGTGCGGCAAAGAGTGAGACCTGCAATTCAATTATTGTCAAATTCTGTAGCAAAAGCTATTAGTTATGCTGGAGAAAATAGACATATGCCAAAATATAATTACTGGAACACGAAATTGATGATGAAATGTGAGAAATGGTCAATTCAATGCGGGTTGGTAAACATAAAGGATTTATTCCATTTCAAAAAGGAGTAGTGTGTACTAATAGATGGCTGAAAGAGTAACGTCCTTACCTACAAGCAAAATACAACGGTAACTATATTTTAATTTAACTTCGAGGTTGTCAAGACGTGGTAGAGGACTTTTTTCTTATTAGTTCTTCTGTTTCTTATATTCGAGAAATGGGTGGTGCAAATATATATATATATATATATATATATATATATATATATATATATATATATATATATATATATATATATATATATATATATATATGTATATATATATCTGGAATCAGATTAACTACAGGCAGAGGACAGACAGTCTCTATTGTAGAGGTTCTCTTCTCTACCCAAACGAAGTTTTTTAAATTCAAGAAATAAATTTTAATAATGTAGTATAAAATATTCAACAAAATCTTTATTATGAACTGTCGGCGGGATGTATTACTGAAACATTGTAAATTAAGCGAATGTTGAAAAATGCAACTCAAAGTTGAAAGATAATTTGTAACACATTCATTTAAAACTTCTTCTTCTTTAGGTACCATCTCCTCTAAGGAGGGTGGTAATGATCACAGCTATTTTCCCTTTTGAGATTGCAGCTCTGAACAAGTCGACGGAACTGCAATTATACAACTTTTTTAGATCGTTGAGCCAGGAGATGCGTCTTCTTCCAAAACTTCGTTTTCCCTGTATTTTTCCCTGCATTAAATCCAAATAATGCCTCTCGTGTACTCATGGCATTTCTAAATCCAAATTGGGTTTCAGTGATGTCTTGTTCCACTCTTCTGAAAATTCTTAAATGGATTATTTTTAACTAATAACTAACTTCTAATATTTTTAGTGTGTGACTCATTAGACTAATTATACGGTGGTCATTACATTCCCTTGCATTAGTTTTTTTTTTTGGTAATGTAATACATGTTGATGAGCCAATCTCTCGGAATAATACCCGTATTATATATAGTATTATATAAGTCTACTAATACATTGATCTGATCTTCTGATATTAATTCAATTATTTCAATTTGAATTGTGTCAGGTTCCGCAGTTTTATTAGATTTTGCCAGATTTATTGCATGTCCTTATAAAGTGTATTTTTATGTATGAGAGAGTAATAAAACAATAAATTATGTATGCAAATCCCTAAACTGTTGATACGGGTGACTCAATGAAAAACAGATATTTGTCAACAAGTTTACAGAAGTATATAGGAAAACAATTTTAAATTGAGTATGACCACCAGGTATAAAGGTTGGAGCAGAATAGAATACAATAGTTGTGAGGGTTACTAATCCCTAAATAAGGTTGCCAGTGTCGGAGTGATAGAGTTTAACAGGTACTAATGAATTTTAATAAGTTTAATAAGTTTCTACCTATTTGCAAAATAAAGTTTAATTCTTTAGATAAAATAAAACGTTTTATTTTATCTAAAATGAGTGCATTCCACGAAGTAAGGGTTTTAACAATCAAACATTTAATTCTTTAATTCCAGGAATCTACGACAGTAATTGACTAGATAATTACCTTCTAAACTTATTCCACAGAAAATGTGATAGTGGGTTTTTCCATTTTGTAGGAAGGTCCAAGTGGCGTATTCAAAATTCTTAACAGTTCACTAAAAGTAGGTACTTCGGTTGCAAGGTGCAGTTTATTGTGTATACTAGTGTTATGGAAAATTTGGAAGCGCCGTGTAAACGCCGAAAAATTGATCCTTTAACAGTTAATGAAAAAACATTATTATTTAATTGTTTTAAATCATTTACAGACAAACGTTTATGTGAAAGTGTTGATGAGACCGTTGAGTTAGTTAGCAGTACACTTGGTGTTGGGAAATCTACGATTTACAGAGTTATTAAAGAAGAGAAATGTAGTAGTTTTCAAATGCCACGTAATGCTCCAGGGAAACCAAAATTTCAAATAGAATATCATTTTAAAGAAGGACTTCGACGAAAAGTGCATGAATTCTTCTTTAGACAAGAATTTCCAACATTGAATAAAGTTCTTGTCTCAGTTCGAGATGATAAGGATTACCCAGAAATGAGTTGAAGTACGTTATGGAAACTTTTAAAAGAAATAGGCTTCCGCTGGAAAAAGAATCCCAGAAAGTCTATTTTATTAGAAAGAAGCGATATTGTCATATGGAGAAGACATTTTCTAAGAACCATAAAGGAAATTAGAAACCAAAAAAGAAAAATATTTTATCTTGATGAAACATGGATCAACGAGGGTCATACACCAAATAAATTTTGGCAGGATGAAACTGTTACAAGTCAAAGGCACGCTTTTTTAAATAACTTATCTACTGCTTTAAACCCACCATCAGGAAAGGGACGCAGGCTGATAATAGTACATATTGGCAGTTCAGACGGTTTTGTTGAAGGTGGTTTATTAACTTTTGAATCAACTCGTACCGGTGACTACCATGAAGACATGAACGCTGATGTCTTTCAAGAATGGTTCGAACAAATGATAGATCTTCTTCCTAAGAACTGTGTAATAGTAATGGATAATGCAAGTTATCACTCCAGACTTATAGAGGGACTGCCCACAAGCAAGTGGTTAAAAAAAGACTTGCATAATTGGCTGAGTTTAAAAAATATTACGTACCATCCCGGATCTATAAGAAAGGAACTTTATTCGTTGTGTGTCCTTCATAAAGAAAAATTTAAAAAATACGAAATTGATGAAATTGCCAAAAATCGTGGAATGGCAGTACTTAGATACCCACCATATCATTGTGAATTAAACCCGATTGAACTGGTATGGGCACAGATAAAGAGTGAAGTTTCAAGAAAAAATACCACTTTTAAAATTCATGATGTTAAACAGTTGTTTTTGGGGGCTGTAAATAATGTAAAACCTGAAAATTGGGAAAAGGCAGTAAATCACACTATTAAAGAAGAGGAAAAAATGTGGAAGCTGGACAATATTACTGATAAAATGATCGAGCCAGTTATTATAAATCTTGGTTCTGAAAGTTTATCTTCTGAATCTGATTTGGATTTGTAACAAGTAGCTGTAAGTTTTATATTAATATTTTTATTTATCTATTTAACATACCTTAGACGGTTTTAAAAACTCTTTTTCTCTTTTGTAATTTTTAAAAATTAAAAAAAAATGTGGATTTTTTAAAACCCTTTTTAATGTAGGCCAGTCAGTTCTAATATAGTGTGTAATAAAAGAGGTCACTTTTGTTTACATACACATAACACTTTATGACACTGAAATAATTCATTTATTTTTTACAATTATTTAAAGTAATTTTTCAATTAATCTTGAGCACGCCCATGGAGTGGTCGGAGGTACCAGTTAAAATTATGCTAATTACTCTCTCGTTCATAAAAATAAACTATAGTTATATTTAGACTATTTGGAAAAAATGAAAAAATGCATGTTCCTCGCAATCGTTCATGCTATCTTGTTGCGTCCTGTCATCCTCAAACAATTCTTGGACGTATTCTCTCCATCTGTTTAGTTTGCCTTTGACATCAGATATTATTTTACCATTTGTATCAACCAGGGTGTTACTATTGTTGGACCGTCTTATACCTGCTGATTCTTTAATTTTTTTGTGCGTTTGTTGTTGTACCACTTCTCTTTAGCTGCCCGTATTTTTATCCTGATCTCCTTGTGTGTGGCTTTGTATTTGTTTACATTTTTGTTTTTGTATAAACTTCTTTTGTCCATTAGTTGCCGGATCTCATCTGCCATCCATGGAGTCTTAGCTTCATCGATTTTATGAATACTCAGTTCTCCTCGTTAATTTTCAACGTTAGTTCTCCTTTTATATTCGGGTGTTTTAGCAGAGTGCTTACTTTTTGTGTCTTATCTGCAGTTCGTTTATATTTTTGTGCCTGACGCAGGGTTTTCGCATGTTGGCGACCTGGGACGCCCCGCGGTCTAACTGAGAATTGCCTCCCCTGCCGGATCTTGGTATCCGATGTCCATGATCAGTAGTTGTGAAAGTGTCATTTATAATAGCCATAATAATTGACAAGATATATCTATTTAAAGATCTTTAATGTAGTAGTTTCTCGTTGCCTTCTACATCCTTCTGCCGTTGACCATTTCTTTGGTTCATCCGCCTTTAAAGTCGATTTCTCAACTCCAGGACAAAAGAGTGCCCTATCACTTACCAACTCATCCGCCCGTAACCGTTGGTCAGTAAGTGAGAGATTGCTTATACCGGTAATCACTCGGTCCCTATCTGCATTGGCCATCTGTTGCCCATCAATCAAAAACAATTTTCTCTAATTTTAAATATTAATTAAGTGATTCAGAAAATGTTTTTAATATTTAACCATTCTACATACCTACTTTGTTTAAATTACACGATTTTGGAAAAACTTCATAATGAATATGACCTTCGAAATGCGTATAAAATAGAATTCATTTTTATGCTTATTAATTGAAAAGATATTATTATATTCCTACATTATTATGAATATACACACTTTATCTAGAGAAACGTCGAAAAAAGTTGTTTTATTTTTCAATAATCAGAAAACCTATACCCAAGAAAAATAAAAATATTGTAAACTACACATCATATAATATAAAGTGCCAAATATTCATGCCTATATAATATTTGATTGCCTATATATTTGATACTAAGCGACTAACAGTGCAAGCGTTAGTGTTCTAATAGAAACTTTACTGCTTCGCACGTGACGTCACACAGTGCGAGAGAGATAGAGCTAGCACGCGCAATAGTATACCGTATTTGTGTACCGTGATTTAGAACATACAATTTCTCCTCACTGCATTATTTTCTCATTTATCTAGCTGCGCGGAATCTAGCGCAGCTACTCGCGCGGTGTATTATATACAGCTCATATATTACTATCAGATTGAATACACAGAAAAAATGTCTGAATTTCTACTTTTGATGCGTCTGTTACATTTTGTTCTTTCATAAATTAATGTCTAACATTCGTAATGTGTCGATTCGTGCATTCAGTAATGTACTCTTATCATTTCATTTGTTAATATTTGCATAAAAGCAGCTACTTCATTTTTTTAATATCCTTTGCTCTTTGTTTAACGCCAGAAAAGATTACAAAATTTTTAGCGCTTCCTTTACTAAATTTGTTCTTTAGTGGATTTTTATTCCATCTAGTCAGTTTGTCTTTGGCAATAAAGTAACTGCTAGCTTCAACATGTTCCAAATAATCGAAGTCGTTACCTTCGATTACTAATTTTTAGTCTTGTTCAGTCTCCTCTATGTACCCTTTAGAAGAAGTATCAACATCGTCGTTCGATAATTCTTTTTCCGAATCGGAATTGTAAATAGTTTAAGCCAGCTCCTTTAAGCACAAATTCCATCTGTGCCAATTTGTTAGGGTGTGTTATTTTTACTTTGTCGTATACTTTGCAGCGTGAAGGCGTCCATGAAGGTTGGATTAAGCCCGGAACATACCTATCATACAGCCTGCCGGTCCTACTCCGATCATGCCGTTCATGAGTTCGGCGGTACCTTTCTATATACATGGCAGGGTGGATCTTGTGTAAATATATTTTTCGCTGACTACGAATATGTAGTCCCTTATCTCATTTTATATAAGATAAAATAATTTTCAACTATCTATCCTTCCATTTATACAGAAAGGTACCCAGCGGCCGAATTATGTAAGATCGGAGTAGGATCGTCAGGTGTCTGATAAGTGTGTACCGGTCGTTATGCGACAGAATCCTTCTTCTACTATCATTATTGTATTAATATCAAGTATGTAATACCAGTTTCTTATATATTAACAGCGTTCGCGACCTGATAATATCTGATCTTCAATTTTGCCCATTAAAACGGTTTTTAAAAGATTACATTTGTCAACTCCTTAACTATGGGCTAGATATGAGATCTGTGAATAAATATTGTTTAGTATCTCGTATATTTCTTCTACATTGTCTGCTATGATAACTGTGTCATCAGCATATCGTAAAGTATTTATGGGAATTCCATTTATTTTGATACTTTTTCTATTCTGGTGTGCACATTGAAAGGTCTTTGCTACAAAATTTTTAAGCAGCAGACGGTAGATAATGCAGCCCTTTCTCACACCCCTTACTTATTTCTACTTGTTCTGTATATAGACCGTGGAGACCCTTAGTTCTGCCTTTTTATTATTGTACAGCTGCTGCTTTTTCCATCAACATTTTAACGCCGATTTAAGCACATCATATCTCACATTGTCAAAAGCTTTTTGGTTATCGATAAAACAAATAAAGACATCCTTCCTCTGGTCATAAAATGTCGGCACCTTTAACTTTATGCAAAAATGTACATCTCGTATTCCAAGACCATTTTTAAAATCAAACTGTGTCTTCTGTTCTCTCTTCACACTTGTAAAATCACTTATGAATTACTTTTAGAACGCTCTAAGTACGTGGTTTATTAATCTAATTAGGCGATGATCTTCGCAACGCCTGGCATTGTGTTCTTGGAAATTGCTACGAAAGTTGACTTTAGGCCATCTGGTAGATTGTATATGTTAATAAAGATTTTGTTTTATCTTTTTGAAAATCAATATTTTTGATCCCAATTGGATGGGTCTGAACTCTTTTAAAAAATGACGGCATCAAAAATATATCGTGCAGCAAATACGGTAATTCGCCTCTGCTATGAACAGTTTGTTCTTACTTTTATCTATATTACGAATTATTTTTTATAAAAAAATTAATGCTTACACAAAATGTATAAAATAAATATAAAAGTAAAGTACACAATTTGATATAACACTTTCAAGCCAGGTGTCTTTTAAATATAAATCACGGGATCCATTAACGACTCTAGGTGTTTTGTATCATAGAATTGCGCCATTTGTTGTGTCCACAAGTTATGTTATATAGTAGTTGGCAACTGTAAGGGAGCTGTTTATGCTCACTGCAAACCTTCTTTTAACCCACTATCTATAAGTTAGAGAGCTCAAAAAAATGCACGTATATAGTTTAGGTATTGTTTGAAAAAAAAAATCTTTTTTAAACAATGGTTTAGGCCAATTGTGGGACACCCTTATATTATAAAAGAATCGGCAGATATTGATAATAACTGCGGTGGAATCGTAAAAATGATCTTTTGAGAGCGCCACACGTCGCATCTAAGCTATTAACACAAAACACTGGGTACTATTTTCTAGTTATATGCGTTGGCCTTTTTAAAATAATATACACCTAATGCTGGTTGTAATTTGAAAAAAAAAACATCATATTGATCTTTATATCAATAAAGCAATTAAACAGCGAAATCGAGAACAAGTTAAATTATTTCCTATCATAGAAACCACGATTGGCTTAGTGAATGAGCTATGCTTTCGGCAAAGGACAAAGATGTCTATCAATTTAATAATGATATTTTGTAATTTTAATCCAGCATTTAAAGTGAGTAAAATGGTTGTTAATCGAGTTACAATTAATAACATAAGGTATGTAGATGACACTGTTTTTTTGGCCACCAGCCTAGAAAATCTGCAGATATTATTAGGTATAATGGCAGGGAAAAGACTGAATTGGGTCTAAAAGTAAATTTACAAAACAGTAAGTAGTAGTTAGTGGCTATCGCGATCTAATAATAGTTAAGGTAGAATTACAGCAAATAATAATACTACGGAGAGAGTTACAACTTATAAATAGGTATCTTAGTTGCTTTTTAAACGAACAGTGGGACAACACATTAGAGGTCAGATGTAGAATTAAGTAGGTGACACAGGAATCTCTAAAATTGAAATAAGATTATGAAGACGTGCTATGGAGATTACGTAGTAATATTGTTCATAGTATTGAAGCGTGGACCTTGACAGACGCTATGTATAAAACATTGGAAGTATTAGAAATGAGGGTATACAAAAAAATCTAAAAAGTCCGTAGACTATCAGAAACACGAACCAATATCTAAAATAAAATTAAAGATGAACGTGAAACAGATAGAGGAAGAACTTCATGGCTTAAGAATCTGCATAACTAAAGGTAAGGAGTTACCACCCGCTCGCTATTCTGAGCAATACTAGACAAAATCAAGATAAAGCAAATGTAAGAAAACAGTTTCAGAACTAAAATTGAACGTCTTTGATATAAAAAATGAACGCCTTTGAAAGATATTATAAAAGCTTCAATATAATTTATAGATTTGGTCGGCATGATCCACACTTAACAAAGCACACACGTAAAATATTGTTAATTCTTTCAATTAAAAACATCCTTACATACTCACTTCATACACAGCAAATCCTATAGGAATCTTGGGAAGATTGTACAGCCTTCTATTCTTCTGCATTAATCCAATTACTACCCTGTGTACAGCATTACTACTATCGTTTATTTTTAACAAGTATTGTGAGTTATGCCAAAAATCTAAACAAAGATTAAAATATTAATGTAATCATGAATATTATAAATGTATATCAAAAAATAGCATTAAAAAAAAAAAAATATATATATATATATATATATATATATATATATATATATATGATATGATATAATGAAGAAGACCTACAACGACTTATAAATAGGGTAACCGAAGCATGTGATGAATATGGGCTAAAACTTAATACTTCTAAGACAAAATTTATGGTTGTCAGCAAAACGGAGTTACAACCAACGAACATCAGAGCGTATGGAATAGAGTTAGAAAGAATCCACAATATTACCTACTTGGGTGCAAACGTTAACGATAACTGGGATATAAATAAAGAAATAAGAATACGCATTGAAAAGGCCAGAGCCGCCTTCTATAAATTAAAGAAAATTCTAATTAATAGAGATATTACGTTAAATCTTAAAATCAGATTAATACGCTGCTACATATTCTCCACATTGCTGTATGGTATGGAGAGCTGGACCCTTACAGAGACATTATAGAAAAAATTAGAGGCCTTTGAGATGTGGATTTATCGACGAGTGTTGCGGATAAATTGGGGTGATCGAATAAGAAATGAAATAGTTTTACATCGAATGAAAAAGAGCACAGAAATAACAAAAACGATAAAAATTCGGAAGTTACAATATTTCGGTAATGTAATGAGACATCCAGAGAGGTATAACCTTCTACAACTTATAATGCAGGGTAAGATCGACGGAAGGAGAGGCCCAGGCCGACGAAGAACATCCTGACTACGAAATCTCCAAGAATGGTATCAAGAAACCACCTTTAATTTATTTAGAGCCGCCGTGAATAAGGTTATTATTGCCAATATGATCGCCAACGTTCGATAATTGGACAGGGCACTGAAAGAAGAAGAAGATATATATATATATATATATATATATATATATATATATATATATATATATATATATATGAAAGAAAAAGCCTGCGTTTCATTTCAATTTGAATTCCATCATTGTTCTACACGTGTTTCGAGTTATATCAACTCTCGTAAGAAACACTTGTGGAAAATCCACACAAACTTCCACCTTTAGAAGCTTTCACAATAATTTAAAAACAGGCTTATAATTGCAATTGAGGTTAACTAATGTGTTAAAGCAACAGTAAGGGTTCGATATCATGTTTCTGGATATCTGTCTTCTTCTTAAGGTGCCTTCTCCATTACTGAAGGTTGGCTATAACTACAGCAAATTGCTCTCTATCTTGAGCTGTTCTTAGTATCGCATGTGTGTCCATGCCTGTCCAGTCTCTTATGTTCTTCAACCAGGAGCATTTTCTTCTTCCTGGACCTCTTCTTCCTTCCACTTTCCCTTCCATTATAAGTCGTAGGAAGTTGTATTTTTCTCCTCTGTAGATATGTCCTAAATAACTCGTTTTTCGGTTTTTTACAATATTTAGGAGTTCTCTGTCAGTACCCATTCTTCTTAGCACCTCGTTGTTGGTCACGTGCTCTGTCCAAGAGATCTTCAGCATTCTTCGAAAAACCCACATCTCAAAGGCTTCTATACGCCTCATACTTGTAATTCCGAGAGTCCATGTTTCCACTCCGTATAGCAATATGGAATAAATAAACGTTTTTACAAATTGGTATCGGATGTCCAGCGATAACGTAGAGTTTATTAGAAATTTTTTCATTCGCTGAAATGCGGACCTAGCATATTCTATACGAGCACGTATTTCGACCTCGTGGTCAAGATCGTTTGTTATCCAGCAACCAAGATACTGGAATCTTTGTACTGGTTCTATATGTTTGTTATAGATACGAATATTAATGTCGACATTTGGTGTACGTGTAACAGCCATCACTTTTGTTTTATTTGTGTTTATATTTAGTCCCAAGCTATCTCCCTCTCTGGTTATGACATTCAAAAGTCGTTGTAAACCCTCAGCACTGTCCGCAATAATGACGGTGTCGTCTGCGTATCTTAAGTTGTTTACGTATTCTCCGTTGATTTTTATTCCTTCTTCAATATTTTCGAGGGCATTTTGAAAGATCTTTTCGGAATATATATTAAATAACAGTGGAGAAAGTACACAGCCCTGACGAACTCCTCTTTTTATTGGCAATTCTGCTGTCAGACGATTGTCTATTTTGATAGATGCCATTTGATCCCAATATAGTTTTTTAATAAGTGCTACAGTGTTATGGTCTATACCATGTTGTGTTAGGGTTTCTATGAGTTCTGTGTGTTTAACTCGATCAAACGCTTTTTCGTAGTCGATAAAACAGAGAAAGACGTCTTTTCGCTGATCTCGGCATTTTTGTAGTAATACCTGGAGGCCAAATAATGCCTCCCTTGTACCAAGCCCCATACGAAATCCAAATTGATTGTCGCTAAGGTTTCTTTCGCATTCTCTGTATATTCGTTGATGTACAATTTTGAGTAAAATTTTCAGAAAATGGCTCATCAGGCTAATTAATCTGAACTGTGAGCATCTATTTGCTTTATTTTTATTTTAAATTCAAAATCTGGATATCTGTATCTGGATATCTGTAGGTCTTCTAAAAGGTTCATTTGTCATTACTGTTTTTTAAGGAAAAAGGAATTTGATTAAGGTCCAAAGTTTAATTTATATGTGTTAATAAGATGTCCTTTTATTTTCTGAGTCAGGGTTCTTTTTATTTTCCACATACATGTCATGTTACAATCTTCAAAACTTTTAGGGATAACTTGTCAATTGAACCAATTCTGACCTTCAGTCAATTTCAACATGTTATTACTAATGATACTATCTAAAGCAAGATCTATGCGACTTCATCTTAGACAGTCTTCGACAAATTTCTCAAATAATTTTGAATTTAAATTTATCATTTTTTTTTAATCTTCTTCTCTAAGTTCTATCTTTTATCGAAGGTTAAAAATCATCATGCTTATGCGGACGCTGTTGACTGCCGCTCTAAATATTTCTGCACTATTGCATTCAAACCATTCCGTTAAGTTCTTAAGCCACGATATTTTTGGTCGTCCCACATTTTGCTTTCCTTAAATTTTGCCTTGCATAATAAGCTGTAATAATGTAATTTTAATGGTCAATATTATTTCAGCTTTATTTCCTATTCTTCTGGTAACTTCTGCGTTTGACATTCTTTGAGTTTATTATGTTTGTAGGATTCTTCTGTAACACCAAAATTCAAAGGCGTTGTTTAATTTATTCAGATGCACTTGTTTTATTGTTCATGCTTCCAAGTCATACAGCAAAATGGTGAATACGTAACACTGCAGCATCCTAAGGCGTAGTCCTAACCTTATATCCCGACAACAACAAAACTTTTTATGTTTAACGAATGATGCACGTGCTATTTCAATACGTGCCTTAATTTCTTTGGTTTGGTCTACATTTGATGTTATCCATATTTCTAAGGATTTGTGGGTATCCACACTCTTAATTTTAGTATCTTCAACATTTAAATGGATGTTTGCATCTGCTGATTTAGTCATGTCATGATCATGCATTTAATTTTTTCACCATCGTTAACTGCATCAACAGTAAGAAATATCCAAAAATTGTTACAATTTCCCTGTATTTTATAGCTTAAGAAATAATATATTTAATAAGTCAAGTTTTCACTGCAAAACATACTTACTTGTACTATGCGGCTGACCTCCATTACTAATTTTTGCAACCCAACTGCCGTCAAGCATAAAAATGTTCCATTTATGTGATTCGTCTTCTTCATATGCTAGTGAATCGGGATTAGGGTGACAAAATTCTAACAAATTATAAGCGTCAATGAAATGTTCGTATTGCATCCAAAATTCTCCATCATCCTTTGCTATTAATAGTTTATTTTTAGTTTCGTCCGGAAGAAGATCCCAGGTTTTTGAACTGCAATTAATAATCCTAGTCATATTTTGATTTTGTTTAATAGTATCTTTTTGTATAAATTTTTGCTAACATTTGAATTCTGGTTATTAAAATATTACAGTCCTTATTCCCTCATTTAATAACAATCAAAGTAATACACAAATAACTTCATACATGCAAATGCCCAATGCTACTTATTTTAATCGTCTGTAAAATTATTGTAAACAAGTTGATGTTCAATACAGTTATTTCAAAAGAGGTGTATCATCGATGACAGCGGTGGGATTAACGAGGTATAAAGTAATCTTTAATGGTGATAAAGGTGTCTAGTTGATTTGATAAAGAAACTGATACATCCGGACCCTCACATGGTTTTTAAAAATGGAAGAGGAAAAGACGAAGCGTAAACAAGAAGAGAAAGAGGCCATGGGAAAGCGTAGACCAAAAGAAGAAAAGGAAAAGAAAGGCGTAGAAAAGTAAAGGTATAAATCATACATAGTTTATCCCAAATTCATGAAAATTTTAAGTTAGAAGATGACAAAGTCACTTTGCCTCTGTAACTTTAACATCATATCATATAAGATTCAATTATATAAACTAAATTTAAGCATTTAAGTTAATAACATTTAACGCGTTTTTACCCAAATATTTAGTGGCTCAAAACATGGCTCAGACACACTGATGATGGAATATAGATTCCGAAAACGTTTTGTGATGTGATCTAACCCGATTGGGTGTTTTAATTATAAACCTTTTAAAAAGGATTTTAAATAAATTTTTTGTGATACATGGTATACAGCCAGCTACTGGAACTTAGTTTTCTTGTATATAATGGAACTGTTTGTCAATACCTTCAAATTTTTGTCACTGATAATATAAAAAATTGAGATACTTTAATTCGTGTATTTCTGTTAGCCTATAAAAGTTTTGAAAAAGTATTAACTGGTTATTCTCTATTGATCTTATTTTCGGAAGATTGCCTCCTTGCAAAGAAGAATGTTCATCTCTGACGTATATTGAAAATTTGAAAAAAAATTAGAAAAAATCTACGAATTTGCTCATAAAAGTTTGAAGCTTCAAAGTGATAAAGCCAACGCCAGGCTCAATATGCATGCTACCGGTACAACTTTTGAAATAGGTGACCCAGTATGACTATACAATCCCACACGTAAGAAAAGACTTTGTCCGAAACTTCAACGCAACTGGGAAGGTCCGTACACCGTCCTGCAGAAAATAAATGATCTAATCTACCGCATATAGTTTTCAGCTAGAAGTAAAGCCAAGGTAGTTCTTATCGAGAGACTAGCTCCAAACCATGGAACCCTGTTGGCTTCAATAGATCTGTAATAGTCCAGTTATTCGAGGCGAATAACTATAAAGAAGGGAGTAGTGGTATGACAGTTCCATGAGATTTAATTCATATAGAAAAAGAAGAAGTAATGAAAAGTCTAGAATTTTCGAGATGTCATCGAAAAATTCTTAAAAAAGGAAAGAGGGGACGCGTAATCGTATGGAATTTCCTTAAGCCAAACCGGCACCAAAAGATTGCCAGGATTCTTCAGTAGATTAAGAATAATGGATATAGATATATATATATATATATATATATATATATATATATATATATATATATATATATATATATATCAATAAATAGAGTTTTTCAAAAGTATTATGTTTAATTGAATTATTGTTTTAATTTTAAATATTTTTCTAAAAATATAAGCTTAATATACTTTAACGTTAAAATGTAAGTTTAACATTAGGGCTGTCATTCATTCTGAAAAACCTATTTATTTTAATGCACTGATTTTAAAATTACTTTTAGCAAAGCTGTAAACATGGTTTTGACACTAACTTTTTCGTCATAAATTAATACGTTTTTTTTTAAATTATATGTTTAAAACTCAAAAAATAGTTAATATAAGAGATACTTCAGGAAACAATTGTATTGTGCTTAATTAATGTTTTTTGTGAGTTGAAAATTGACTAAGGAAATCAGCCTTGGTCTTAATATCTTGTATATAAAATTTTAGTAGAGGTGAAAACCAATTAAATTAGCATATTATATTATATTAATTTTAAAGCGGCGAAGCACTGCAAGTTTATTGGTTAACTTTTTTATTTATAATTGAACACTGACATGATCACTTTTTGAACAAATTGTTATCATTACATATTTTTATGTAGATCGATATAGTGTTTCAGTAAATTAGTAAATTGAAGTTGAAATCAGTAGATCTTCTGAAAAATCAATAGACCTGGTAACCCTATGAGAGGTAGTAATATGCCATGATACAAATACAAACAGATAAGATACCGCGCATGTGGGCGTGGCTTATGCATGACTTTTGTGACGTCAACTTGTGCTAAATTTCGCCATATTGTGTTTTGACGTTTATGTACATTTACGGTTCATAGCCAATATTTAATAAAATAATATTTTAAAAGTGTTACAAGGCTTTAAATTTTTCCCGATATGAGGTGTGCAGTGTATGGTTGTGCCGTTGACAATATGTGCAAGAGTTTTGTACCCGGTACAGCATTTTATAGCTTTCCAAAAGACAAGGAAATGCAAGCTGTTTGGAAACATTTGTGTAAACGCCAGGATAATTTTAATGTTAAATTTGCTCGTGTTTGCTCTAAGCACTTTGTTGAAAGTGATTGAAGTGATGAATCGGTCATTCAGGTTGGCAAAATATAAAACAGAAGTCAACTACTTTATAAGTTTATAGAACACGTTTCGCTTTATACTTCTAAGGCTTCATCAGTTCTAACTCAATAATATGTAGTATTAAAGATGTTATTATATGTACTTAAGTTTACTCATTATTTAGAACTAACTTAAAAAAAAACAGAAACAAAGGACACAAAAACTTTGCAAAAAATAATATTCGCAGAAACGAAGATTTAACAAAATTTTAAACGTACATTTGGCTTCATTGGGGAACCATCTCTAAATAAAGCCAAATGTACGTTTAAAATTTTGTTAAATCTTCGTTTCTGCGAATGATATTATTTTTTACAAAGTTTTTGTGTCCTTTGTTTCTGTTTTTTTTTTAAGTTAGTTCTAAATAATGAGTAAACTTAAGTATATATAATAACATCTTTAATACTACATATTGAGTTAGAACTGATGAAGCTTTAGAAGTATAAAACGAAATGTCTTCTATAAACTTATGAAGTAGTTGACTTCTGTTTTTTATTTTGCCAACCTGAACGACCGATTAACTCTGAATTCACTAGTTGAATACTTTATTAATATACATATATATATATATATATATATATATATATATATATATATATATTATATATATATAATATATATATATTATTATATATATATATATAATATATGTATACATATATATATATATATATATATATATATATATATATATATATATAATATATATATATATATATATATATATGTATACATATATTATATATATATATATAATATATATATATATATTATATATATATAATATATATATATATATATAGATATATATATATATATATATATATATATATATATATATATAATATATCCTTCCTTGCCTGAGGGAACCAGGTCCTCATACCCTTTTCCTATCGCCCCCTTTTAAAACTCCTACCTTCATCCTACCCTCTACCAACTCGCACTGGCCAGCGCGGTAGAGTATGGCTAAAATCCAAGCATGTTTGACACGACAAAAACACGGCCATCAGTCCCCAGCAGTGAGCTGATCCTTGGTCAAGGTAGCGATCAAGAAAGACAGCAAACAGAGGGTGCGAAGAATCCCCGGGTCAGATCAGGCTACCGCGGACGACGACAAATGTATATCGCCACAATGTAAGAACACCGTCATCTGAAGAAAAATTACTGGAATTAGAAGAAGAGATAAAACACATAAAATGGGACGTTATAGGTCTCTGTGAAGTAAGACGTGAAGAAGAACACTGTATAACTCTTAAATCAGGGATCAACTTTTCTATATGGGAAACAAAGAAAAAATAGGAGGATGTTTAGATTTTTGTTTTTGATAAATAAAAGTCTAGTTTCGAACATCCATGACTTTTTTAATATTAGGTTTACGGAAATACTAGATAACGAATCTCTTTGTTTTATAATCTTGACGTTACACATATCCAAATAGTTTCGCGATAAAATCTAAATTTTTGGAAAATTCGCAAAAAACGGCTTAAACATGCTTTTTTACAGGTAATTTGTAAAATTTTAGTTACGAATAATTCCAAAAATATTGACTTTTTGAAAAAACTGAAGAACATTTTTGTCTTAAAATTTACTATGCTAGCGACTAACATTTTCTTTTTTACTTTTGCCTGAGTTGGGGTGGTAACCGCCTCCAGAGGAAAAGCACATACTAGCATAGGGTAGTATTCTACCTACAGTCAAAATTTTAAGCAAATTATGTATATAAAAAAATTGAGAAGTTTTATACTATTGTTACCGTCATATCCTGGACTATAAAAAGGGGATAGAGATGGGATAGAGGTATTAGATTAAAATAGCTCAAGGTATAGCACAGTTGAGCAGTTTAATGGAGGATTATGTTCAAAATAATAATTTATAAGAAATAGACAAAATAAAATCTTAAGTACATAAGCTGAAATAAGCTAAATTCTGATACATGTTTCACATATTTTTGCTTATGCCACACAATTCTTTTGGTTAAATAAACATGGGGATTTACCATTTACCATTGCTTTTTGACGTCAGAAAATTTATATAGTGAATTGAGATATTTTTTCAAATCACTGTATATTCATATTCTCTGAAAAAGGACTTATAAATTTTGGCCAGAAGTAGGTAGATCTTTTATTACTTTTTTTATTTAAAATATAAAATTTCTCCACGTATTGGTACAGGTTGTTCATCTGTAAATGTTATCAATGTAAGTTTCCGAGATATAAGATGCTTGGTTCTATGTCCAATCGTTAATTTTAAGACAGTACACCGAAAAATAGGAAAATTTTCTTTAGTAAAGTAATTATTATAATAATTATAATTTTAGATTAGTGGTTTCTACTGCGAACAAAAAAATAAAAAGTATTTGTGAGGTTATCTCTGTAAAGGCAATAAAAAACTACTAATCTTCCTGGTTCAGCTTTTCTAACTTAATGATTCGTAATCATTCTTGAACCATTAGCTGCGATTTTTTGTATATACCTAATTATGGATAATGCATATAATTGCAGCGCAGCAGAAAAAAATATATAGCATCAAAAAATAAGGAAGGGAAATAAGATAATAAATTGGATTAATGAGGTTTAATATTTCACTTATTTAAGATGTTAGAAGAATTTTTAACTTACTGGTCACTCCAGTCACCTGTCCACTCACCCGTGCCCCATGGATTTCTAAGCCTAAGCAACTTATAGACTTTTTCAGCTTTTGAGGTAACTTCCACTACATTGTTTATACTGTAAGCATGACTTGAATAAAGTCCATCTTTCCTTTCTCCTTCAACTTCACCCGAATCCTTAGAGAAAAAACCAATAAAATTACTTATTATAACTTAAAATGAAATATAAATATATTTTGAAAATTTAATCTATATATTACCAGGATACCACAGCCCATGTATGATTTTCTCATAAATGAAATTAACATCATTTTGAAAAGGTCCTGATCTTTAGAAATGTTTGCTAAATCAAGGTATCTTTCGTTTAGCCCGCCGGTGAAATCTTCCAGAGCTTCAGAAATAAAGCCCCCTTCAATATTTTGGTAAGATCCGTAGAGCCTAAAAATAATTAATTACACTAAACTAGAACTATAAACATGAGGTTATATATGATTTAAAGTAACTGTGTCCTTTGACATTCAAAAATTGGGCAAAACACAGTTAAACTACCAAAAACAAATTTTTTCAGGGTTTTTGCATATTTTTTGAGTTTTTCAGTCAAACCTCAATATTTTTTCAGTTTTTATGTAATAGTGTAATTTTAGCCCGTCATCCACAAAAGCGTCATTTTTCCGTTTTTATTTATTTATTATTATTTTTTTTTTTTAGTGGGCTGCAATTCAAAAATTCACACGCATAGTTAAAGATTTTACAAAACTTGTATGTTTTATAGACCCGTATGCATAGACATATAATACAAATAAACTGATCCCAGCAATCCATTACCGTTCCCCCAGTGCGACAGAGAATACTGACGCAAAGCAGTCCCTACATATTTTGCAAATGGGCCAGGTTTATCGATTACGTGGCCTTCCTATTGATCATTGAATTAACTAAGTTAAACTGAGATTAAAATTGAGCTAAGTCTTATTTTTTAATCACATAGCACTAAACAGAATGAAAAAAATTTAATTCTGGGAGCGAGCGTATCTTAACGGGGGTTACACTTTATTATGCATGTATTAAGTAGCTTGTTTAGGACTGAACATTTCACGGTAAACAATAACACGCAGACTAAATGCGGTAAATTTGTATCGTAGAAGAGCGCTACGTGTTTCTAAACTAACCTACTATCACAAAATAGTAAGGTTGCAATAAGCTAGAGAAATGGTGCATCATGGTCCTAACTGAAATAAGGTGATGTTCTCTGATGAGTCAAAACTTGGCTTGGTATCTGATTCGCGAAGAACACTGGTTTGCAGGGCCCCAGGATGACAAGCCCGACTAGAAATAGCCCAACCGCGTGTCCCATTTGAAAGTGGCAGTATTATGGTTTGGGGTGCTATTATGAGTGGTACACGGACGCCACTGCTGGTTCTGGAGAGAAGAGTCACTGGTGATGTGTACATCGAGAAAGTTTTAAATCCTGTCACACGTCTATTCCGAGAGGCAGTAGGTGATTAATTTGTGTTTATGCATGACAACCCACCTCCTCATCGAACAGCAGCAGTACAAAATTTTCTGGAAGAAGAAGGAAACATTACAGTGGCCCTCGAATTCCCCAACATGAACGTTATTGAACATGCTTGGAACATTCTCCAAACATGCATCAAGAAGCTAAACAATCCTCCCATTACACTTCGAGAACTAAAAGATGCTGCTCGTGAAGAATGGGAGAGATTTCCACAAGCCCAGCTCGATCAGTTAATCGGCAGCATGTCAAATCGCCTACAGTCATGCATATAGGCCAATGGAGGAAATTATTCCAATTATTAGTTTTATGAAAAATTTATTTTTTTCTATACTAATTTATTTTTTAAATGTAAGTTGTACATTGTAAGTTTTTCACTCTAAAAGAATAAATAATTTTTTTGCATATCGTTTATCTGGTTTTGAGATTTATTTGATATTGTTGAGAACTAAAAGAAAATGATGTTTAACTATTCAGAACAGTTTTTATATAAAAATAATAAAAAAAAGAAATATTCCAATATTCCAAACTTTTGGACATATGTATATATATATATATATATATATATATATATATATAATATATATATATATATATATATATATATATATATATATATATATATATATAGAAAAGAAATTTAATCTTTGCAGATAAGTTAAATAGTAAACTCTTAAATATTGGGGAAATCTGCAAGAAAGATTCTAATGAGTATCAATTGTTTCGCCGAACGTTTTCGCCAAAGGGAATTAATTTGGCTTCTTCAGATCTGAAAGAGAAGAAATTATAATTAGATACCATATATTATCTATTAAAAAACACTGGTGATCTTATCGTAACTTATATTGTAGAGTTAGAATGTTAAGAACTTAGCTAGTAACAACATAGTGGCTTTTTTGTTACTAGGTAAAAAAATGTTACATTAAAGATTCTTTTGAGATGATAAATAAATATAATGGTTACATATTACCCTCAAATTATCTCCTCGTTAGCCTTGACGTTGTATCCTTATTCAGCAACGTTCATCTAGGAATATGTTTGACATCAATAGAGATCAACTGGGACCGTATTAGAGGTTGTTCTTTCATGTCTTATGACAGATTCATCAGCATCGTCGAATTTCTCTTTAACAACACTTACTTCTCATTTAATGGAAAATTCTATCAACAAACTTTCGGTACCCCTATGGGAGCAAAGATTTCTCCTACCATTGCAACTTACGTTATGGATTATGTATTAGACTCAGTCATTCCTTTTTATTATCCTTTCAAATTCCATTTATTAAAAAATATGTTGATGATATCATCTTGGCTATACCCAATAACAAGGTAGATGAACTATTAGATCCTTTCAATAATCATGACCCATACATCCAGTTCACTGTAGAGAGGGAAGATAGTAATTTGACCGTCCCCTTTCTCGACATAAGGATGATCAGGGAAAAAAACAACATTAAAATAGATTGGTATCAAAAACTGACTCATTCTGGTAGATACCTTAACTACCACTCTTATCATAATAATTCTACCAAAGTAAACTTAATCAAACAGATGAAAAATAGAGTAATAATCAGATCCATCTTTACATACAAAAAACCTACAAATCCTATAAAAACTTTTCATTTCAGACGCTTATCCAACACCATTAGTGAGTAAGATTTATTTTAACACTGTCCATAACGAAGGTACTTCACCTTCCTTCGCGACTAACAATGCTGATCCTGATGTCTTAAGTGGGAACCCAGTCTCGGATACTCCTATCAACAAATATTTTTCATTACCATGTTTCAGAGATATCACTCCGGGTGTAACAAGGATTCTGAAAAGTGTAGAAAATAGCATTGATAATAATAATAGCATTAAACTCAATGTGGCTTCTAGATCAGCTCTAAAAATTAATAATCTTTGTTCTATGATAAAAGATAAGACTCCTATAGATATAGGCTTGGTAACATTGTCTACAACATTCCATGCCTCTTTTGCAACAATTCCTACATCGGCCAAATATCTCAATTATTAAAATCACGTATTACACTACATAAAAGTGATTCTCGACTTCACCCTGACCGCTGTGCATAAGTCAAACATGTTCATTCCACTGGTCATCTCATGGACTATACAAACACTTTAATTCTCCACCGTGAGAATTTCATTGAAATGTCTTATATTTTCCTTAACGACCACGTCTTACTTAAATCAGATGCCAAGAACAATACAACATCACAGATAACTAACTTGACTGATATATCCATTAACAACTAACCTACTTTAATAAAAAATTTCATTAACTAAAAAAGATAACATTCCCTTGCTTTTCTTAGATACATCTTAATAAGATATAATAATAATAATAAGGTAAGTTGGGGTAAGATCGGAGACGGGGCAAGTCCGAACGCAGCCTGTAAAATTGTTATAGGTGTGGCAACAGCGCCGTAAACACTCGCCTCGTGGAGCAAGTAAAGGTATGCACTGCATAAACAAACGGCGGTTTGCTTCTAGGGTTTTCGTCTGAAATATTTGCAATTTTGTGTTTTTTTGTTTATTTTGTGCATTCGAACTTACCCCATTCATCAAACATTGCTTCAAAAGGTAAGTGAGAACATTATATAGGTAATCTGTGTTGTAAATGTTTCATCTTTATAAACTCTTTGAACTAGTCAATCATAACCTCAATTGGGTGTGTTATTATGAGTTGGTTCGATCTTTCCCCATATGTAGATGTACGGGGCAAGCTCGACTCGAATTTTTCCGACCTTACCCCAAAGCCTATAAAGAAGTAATTTTTATTACAGTTTTGAAGATGGTCCGAAAATATATAAGAAAATCCGACAGGTGCAGCAAATACACCAAGGAAGACCTTGCGAGTGCCATTAGTGAATTGGAAAGAGGATCCATAACCCTTCACGGGGCAGCAAAAAAATATAACATCCCAAAATCGACGCTTCATGATCATGCTAAAGGAACCCATGGGTCAAAAAGTAAAACGCTGGGAAGGAGCTTGGCAATTTTCTTAGAGCATGAAGAGACTTTGGCAAATGGTATTAAAACTCTTGAGAAATTGGGGTTTGGCCTTTCCAGAAAGGAATTATTATTTATTGTAGCTGAGTACGTAACAAGAAATAATATTAAGACTCCTTTTAAAAATAATATGCCAGGTGCCGACTGGTTTATTAATTTTAAGCAACGACATAAACTTTCAATTAAAAAGCCCCAAGCGGTGGAGTATTCAAGAAAAAAAATGACTGATCCTTTTGTGGTCAACGATTATTTTGACCTATTGAAAAGAGTTTTAGATTACTTAAAATTAAACAATCTTCCACACCAAATATGGAATTTAGACGAAACGAGTCTGTCAATCGACCCATGTAAGACAAAGGTAGTTGGTGCTAGAGGTGCAGCTTGTTCCCGTGTAACCAGTGGTCCCGGAAGAGAGAACGTAACAATTTTGTCCGCTGTAAATGCTGCTGGTGAAAAAGCGCCCCTTTAATTGTGTTCAAGGGCAAGAATGTATGGGACCAGTGGATGGCAGATCCAGACGGCGAAACAGATTTAGCATACGCTGCTAGTAGCAATGGTTGGATGGAGACTGATATTTTTGTCAACTTTATTAAGAAAACGTTAATGCCTATTCTGGGTGATCAACGACCGGTCTTGCTTATATACGATGGGCACAGTACGCATGTAGATAATAGAGTAGTAACTCTTGCACAAGAAAATGACATAACTATCTTAAAGCTTCCGCCACATACCTCTCACTTATTGCAGCCCCTCGATCTTGCTGTGTTTAGGTCATTTAAAACATCTTGGGATGAAGAACTAGTCAGTTGGCAAAGAAATAATCAGGGCGGTAAATTGCCAAAAAAAGTATTTTCCGAAAAGGTGCGCAAAATATGGAATAATATTAGTTCAGTTGTAATACAGAATGGATTTAAGAAAAGTGGAATATATCCCTTCAATTCATCAGTTATTCCAAAAGAAAAATACCATCCCGAAGCATTAAAACGATTTGAAAATATGAAGCAAGTCGCAACAGTGGTAACTGACGTAGCAAATGGTAATAATGAAACTAGGGACATATTAGATGCAGGACCAAGTAATGCTTCACCTACAAACACGACTAACAGAGAAACATTTGAGGGTCAGTCTGGACTAACAAATGTTTCATTTGAAGACCTTCTACTTGACACTGTGAAACAGAGCTCCGTAAGTGCTAAAGTCGTCAAAAAAAGACGTGTTGCAACAGGTGCTGAAGTCATCACGCACAAAGATGCAGCTCAATTATTGGAATCTACCAGTAAGTGCCCATCACACACTAATACGCCAAAAAAACAAAAGTCTCGAATCTCAGAAAGTTCTAGCAGCGAAAGTAACATTGAACCAATGTATGAAGAATTTGATAAGGATTCAAATTTCCTTGATGAGGAACAGGCAGATGAAACGTTCGAAAACCTAGAAAAAAAACGCTTGGATATTAGTTAAATACTGCAGCAAGAAAACCATAAAATATTATGTTGGTAAAATAATAGAAATAGACAAAGTTCATCGCGAATGTGTTGTAAAGTTTTTAAGATTTAATGAGAAAGTCAAAAAATTTGATTGGCCTAAAACTAACGATATTGACACTATAATCTATGAAAACATAGAAATGTTCTTACCGAATCCTTTACAGGATGAAAAAAATTATCTGCAATTCGCCGTTGAATTTAATGGACTAAATATTGCTTAAGATTTTTATTTTGTAAATTTTTCTAATAAAAATGTTAATTCTGTTCTAGTTTTACGTTGATTTTATTCATATACGGGGTAAGATCGAATGCAGAGAAAAATTAGACATGTATAAATTTATGGTTTAAATAGTAAGAAATTTACCAGGGGCTTGTTCGGAATTCGATGTTACCCCGTAGGTGTTCTTGAAATACTTATATTATAATTTTACAAGTTGTCCGACCTTACCCCATACGCGGGGGCAAATTCGAACGACTGCATTTTTTTTTATTTCATTTTTTTTATAAACTTTCTTATTAACAAATATTGAGTTTTATCCTGCAAACTCTTTGCTTATGAGTTAAAGTTAAGCCATGCACATTTTGATAATTTTTTAAACTTATCTTATTGTTGTATTGTCAGGTAAATTTTGACTAATCTAAATTCCGTGCGATCTTGCCCCAACTTACCTTACATGAATATTAAATTATCAATTAAGAAAATCTAAAATAATAATATTTCCCTAAACTAAGATTTAACTTCATTCTGTTTTACCAATGAACTTTAACGAAATAAAGCTTCAAAAGAACTACTGGAATTGTCAGCGTATGAGTTCTGATAAAACAGAACCTCACATTTAAACTTTAGTTAAATGTGAGGTGATTAATTCTCTTTGGCGAAAACGTTCGGCAAATTGATACTCATTAAAGTCTATCTTGCTGATTTCCCCGATATTTAAGAGTGTACTATATATATATATATATATATATATATATATATATATATATATATATATATATATATATATATAGCGTAGGTAAAAATTTATGGTCGCTATGAGAAAATTTAACAGGATATCTAACACAGATATAAAATGATATTTTCAGCGAATGGACAAAGATAACAATCATATTTCCCTTTGGTATTCCCTCCATATTTCTTATTGTCGTTCATTGCCCATTAGTGAGATGATTTGTTCCCATCGGTTCCGATCCTAAGAAACTAGAGGTGAGTCGTTATTATTTTTAACGGAACCATTTTTCGTAAACTGTAACTACTTGATTGTTTACCAGTAGTTTCAAATAAGCGAGTACACAAACAAACATATTGGCTATTATCGTTTATGTTTATAAGTATTGAAGTGAAAGAAACTAACGAAGTATTTAGTATTTATTATAACTTGAAAAATAAATTAAACAATACAAATCGTACTTACATTTACATTCACCGTGTTTTATTTAAAATGAAACCAGATTTTGAACATGTTTTCACAAGGAACAGATTTTGTTGCAATACTACAATATTTTATGAATATAGTGGTTAAATTAGGATATACACGGCGATGGTTTTATCACCACTGTAATGGAGAGTTCCAATCTCCGTTCGAAATTTTTTGTTGGTAATATATCATCAGACAAATACATGTCGACTTTTCTTATATCTCTCGATACAGGTGTATGTTTAGATGAGTCATGTCCAATTATTTCATCAGAAATACACCATGGACTTAAGTCATATTTATCAGTTTCTGTTTCTTGTACTGCTTGATTTTCAATAATACAATCTTCTTTTTCTTTTTTTATAGAAGTAACCGGCTTATTAACTCTTTCTTTTGCTTTTTATAACTAGGTGTTTGATTAATGAATGAGTTTCGATTTATGATTGATCTGCATTTTCGATTTCAAATCTTTATTGATAGTTCGTCAAAGGATTTATTTATTGTAAATATTCAACAAAAAATTCTTTTTCTCAGTCAAAATAATTGACCTAGTATAAGAATAATAATTTTATTTTCGAAAAATGCACATTTGTAGAAGATGCAGCATTTATGGTCCGCTTTCTGAATATTAGAATGATTAAAACTTCTCCTGACGCATTTCTGTCCGTTTCGACTACTTCTACTACAAGTACTGATATACTGCCACCCCACCCAAGCATCAAAAGGTGATGGATACTTCCATTAACAAAAATATTAGTTTAGAACAAAAGAAATAAATAGATACGGATTTACTAAACCTATGCAAAGACTCGTTTCATCCGATTTCCATATTTGAAGAACGGGCTTTTAAAAAGTTTGCATGGTGGATACCGCCAACAAGAAAAACTTTTTCAGGTTCATTACTTCAGGAATGTTATATCAAAGCTGAGCAAATTCTTAGATCACAAGTTGTTAAAGAAGTAGAAAATATTTGTATTACTACTGACCTCTGGACATCTGGAGTAACTGAGATTAATGTTATCGCATTAACAGGACAATATTTAACGGAAAATTTACAATTTAAACTTAAAAAATAATAAAAGTGGGGTCTAAACGAAACTTAAATTTTGCAGTAACTGATAATGCCTCAAATATGGTCGAAGCTATTAAAAATATTTTGGAATAAAAACATTTAAATTGTTTTGGTTTTGCTCATACGTTAAATTTTTTGGTGGAGGACGCACTTAAATGCTGTCATGTACAAATAGATAAAATAAAAAGTCTTTTTTCGACAATTCGGCAAAAAACACATTTCAAAAAAAGTACCTTATCTTCAAAAAGCCTTTTAAAGTATCAGTTACAACATAACAAATATGTTGTAACTGAAATATATTTTCTTTGTAAGATATATTCGAGTGACGTTAGTGAAATTACTGAAGACATGAACAATGCAAGCGGGTTTTCCAAATGGACTTGTACAGTAATTAGGACAATAGAAAAGATGTTCTGATATTTCTTCGTTAGTTCTTAAGAATTTGTAGAAACCGATTAGCTTCTTAATAGTTTTTAGAAAAATGTATAATTGTAGGTAAAATTGTTTTTTGTTATCTAAATGAAGAGATGGGGATATGTATGACGAGCTTTGATTGGAGGAGATTGAAAAAGTAGGATATAGTTTGTAAGAATGGGATTTTAACTAGTTTATTGAGGGAAAAAAGATAATCAGTTGGTTTTCAAGGGGCAAGGCGAACAGTCGTGGTTCTCGGGCGGTTCCCCAGAGGTAGGAAGTAGTAGAAGTGAATGTTTGTGAGTTTTCGTGGAGTTAGTGTATCTGACAGAAGCTGATCCAGTAAAATATTGTAAGTTATATTTTCTACTTATATTCCAAGAGTCACTGTTTAGGCCAGAACGAGACATTCAGTTTATCGAGAGAAGAAGAAGCTAGCATAATTTTAACGATACGTGCATTTGAAGGAGATCATTAAAGACGATAGGCTCGCAACAATTTGTTGTAAGATTGCTGATTACCTAGAGGACTGCTAAGAATAGATAATGTAGGCTACAAGGAACAAGGATTTGGAAAACTCATCATCAGAGAGAGATGTTTTTGCTATTCATCAGTTTTTCTTTATTAACAACACAATTTTTACAATTGCTTTAGAAAAGATAAAAATATTTTGATCAGGAGATTTAGAACAACAATTTTGATTTGAGATTTTAATTTATACTGTATGTACCATAAATTTTGAAGGTTCACGTACGTAGAACAAAAGTTTGATAATCATTATATGAGATATTGTTTATTGAAGATATTTGAGTGTGAATTTTATTTCAATATAGTTTTATTCCAATATATAATGTTGCATTATATATGTTTTTTATTATTCGGGTATTCTTTGGACCTTATCTATCACATGTAAAGCATATTGAAGCACGAGTATAACCCTGAGATAAGAGAATTAAATAGTATGATAGAATCATAATTACATCATTTAAATAAGTTTAATTAATTAATTAATTAGCTAATTAATTGCTTGGCGCACTTAAGACTTTTAATATCACATTAATATATATATATATATATATATATATATATATATATATATATATATATATATATTTGTGTAGTAAATATAGTTAATATATTAATAAAAAAACCGCCTTACTTTGCATAAGCTTTTTCTAGTAAAGGAGTCCAAAATACATTACTAAATTTAGTCTTAGTAAAGATAAGTTTACCATCTATAGTAGGCAATCTGTCGTCAATAACCACGTCTATCCATCTACCATATTGCCAAAATCTAAAAATTAAAAACTGTAGGTAGTGGTATAATAAATATAAATATGTTAAAAGCATAAAGAATAGATATAAGAACTAGCGTTGCATATCAGAAGAACCAATATTAGGGGAAGGTGGGGGAATGGTGCGCACCTAAGCGAGAATCGTTGTGGTGGTCAACTCTTAAACATAAAAAATAAAATAAAAACGTTATCTGATACCCTAATTATTCTACTTTCAGTATGCACTATAATAGATATTGAATTTCTTAACATAATCATATATAATTAGAAAAAGTAAAAAATTGCATTTGCGCACCGTTCCCCACCCCATGGGGTAACTGTGCGCACAGGGTGGGGAACAGTGCGCAGTAGTTTGGAATATACAAGTACCTAATAATACAGTGGTATAAAAACAAATTCACATGCAAGAACAAATATTTATTGTACGAGTGATTATATACCTATAATGTTAAGTAGGTATCTGTTTAACCTTGACAAAAGTCGCAAATGTATTGTTCGGGGGCATCTTTACCGGTACATGCCGCGTGGTTCCATAAGCCACATGCAACACACCGGTACCATAGTTCGCTTTTTCCATGTTCTCCACATATGCCACATAATTCAGTCCGCACGTCAGGTTCTGCATCAAATGGAACATAGTTGGGGTTGATATCGTCTACTTCATCATCGTCACAAATGTCACTATCGTCTATGTCAGATACCTCTGATGATTCAGGCGTTGCTGGTTTCTTATTTCTCCCTCTTTTAATTTCCGGAGACTGACATATGCGTTTTTTTTACTTTTTTTGCAACATTCTCTTTTGCCGTTATTTTTCTTGTAGTGGTTCCGTAGAAGGAGTGAGGTGGGATCGAGAAATAAGCATTCTCGATTTCATCTTCCTCGTCACGTTCTTGTGCATCAAGTTCAGGTGTTGGAGCCCTCTTCATTTTCTTATTATCTTTCTTAATATTGTTCTTTCCTAATGTTTTGACACTTTTTAATTTCATGTTTTTTTTCACGTCTTTTTCCCTTTTCTTTGCTTGAGCTTGTTCTAATCGTTCTTTTAGGGGTGTGCTAGTCAATATTTCAGAGTGTTGTTTCGAACGAGACACTGTTTTTACTCTTCCTTTTTCTTTTCTCCTTGGAATAGGTGCAAATTGGAAGAATGAATTATTTAATGTAGATGTCGATGGTAGATGGTTGTGTCCAGACTTAGATGTAGATGGTAGATGATCTTGTTCAGCGGTAGATGTACATGGTAGATGACCTTGAATAGGTAGATCCTGCTGCTGTTGTTTTGGCATATGAGCTGTCTGTCTATCTTCACCGTCTGAATTTTCACTAGGTTCGGGTGTTGCCGGATTAGGAATTTTTTGTAGATTTGGCTGAGATGCAAGTGTTAATAAATTAGCGCTACGTTCGGGAGAACCTTCTACTACAAACTGTCTCATTTCGTTGGCCGGAGCGAAATCATCTTCGTTGAATTTGTTAGGGTCAAATGGCCTTATTCCAGCAGAACGAAATCCCGAAACTGCTTTCTCCATCGATGCGACTTTTACGAACGCTTTATTTAACAGCTCAGCTACGTCATATTCAGTGATCTTTTCATGGCCTGTTGTAGTTAAATAAATATCATACTCCCTGTATAGCGCATTTTTTAAAGGACCAAAGAAGGATAGGTCAAGGGGTTGAAGGTGATGGGAAGTATGTGGCGGAAGGGACACCATATGAATATGATTTGACTTACAGAAATCGTATGCCTCTATGGATATATGGCTTGAATGGTTGTCAAGGATAAGGAGAATCGGGTCATTTAAAGTGGGATTTGCCTGTTTTTCGAAGTGCATTAACCAATCAAGAAAAAGTTCAGAATTCATCCATCCATTTTTTGAACATTTATAGTTAGCACCAGTTGGCCCATTTTTCTGCAGCGCAGGAGCCATTCTCTTTCTGGGATATATCAGCATGGGCGCGATATAATTTCCTGTGGCACTCATGCAAAATACGGCTGTAATGGTCCTCCCTCTTTCACCTGAAATAGCAGCTCCTACTTTTTTTACACCCTTACGTCCATAAACCTTCGGGCACTTCTTCTGTACAGTGGTTACACCCGTCTCGTCCATATTATATATCCTGTTTGCTTCAAATTTAAATTTTTGTAAAACTTTCTCGAGATTTGAATAAAAAAGTTTTAACTCGTCCGCATTAAATGCAGCAATTCGATTAAGACTAGTCCCCTCAGGCTGTCTCAATGATATTTCAGGATTTCGCTTGAGAAACCCATACAACCAATCTTTGCCTGCTAACTGAGTTTGTTTATTGAAATTATTTGGAATATTTTTCTGTTGAGCATAATTAAACGCTAACTGCCTCAGTTGTCGGGGCGTTACGCCGTAAAACAATTTTGCGAGTGTCAGAATATAGTGGGTTAATTCAGCTTCCACTTCTGCTGTAAAAATCGCCTTTCTACCGAGATGGGGGATTTTTAGTTGATTTAGAGAAAGCTTTTTTCTGAGTGTTGATTCAGGAATACCAAAAGACCTCCCAACTTCTCGTATTTTCCTCCCATCGTTTCTAATTGCATTCAGTGCAGTCTCCAGCAATTCATCACTATATTGATGGATTTCAGTCTTTCGAACGTAATTTCGTGGCATCTGAAAATAAAAGACGGATTTTAGTACCCAAAAACGATAACAATATTGCTTCATATTTAATTGATTAGTGGGTAACCGTGCGCATTTTCGCGCACGGTTACCCCACTATGGTTTAAAAACGTAATTACATCATCCTACAAAAATTACTTATCTAAATGCAACCAAATGGTGTGCATATATGCAGCAGATGATATTCTTTAAGAATATAATTATTTCAAAACAAGTAGTTAAGATTTACGGACTCACCGTCTTAATTTGTGCAAGTGGAAAATAGTAACAAAAACCTCAAATGCACACTTTCGCCTTTCACTAAGTACACAACTCAACTGCAGTGGCAGTTAATGGCTTCAGAGACTCTGTGCATGTTCCCGCTTAAGCCTGTTCGGGAGGGGACTCTCAGTATGCCGCGTAATTTGAATTTTAATGGTGCGCACCGTTCCCCACCGCGCACGGTTCCCCCACTTTCCCCTATTGTGTTTAACAGAATATTTTGAATCAAATAATAATACATCTAAAAAAATAAGAAAAATATCAAAAAGATTGGAAATAAGTATAATAATAAAAAATACCGCAGTGTTTTTAACAACGTGAAACAAACACCATGCAATTGTTACTAATACGTATACCTAAATGTTATATTTTCTTAATTTTGTTGTGTTTTATAGTGTAGAAAGGTTGGAGGTAAGCGGAGCATAGAAAAGCCGAAGAATATGTCTTGATTGAAAAACCTCAGGGAATGGTCACTTGCGGTTGTATTTAACTGTTTCGAGCAGCAGCCTCCAGGGTCAGAATTTCCACGATGATAGCCAAGCTTCATAGCCGAAATGGCGCCTAAAGAAGAAGAATATTTTAAGATTCCATTGCCGGTTTCACAAAAGCTACCACACTGACTATCTTCTTTGTTTACCTTCTGAAGATAATGTGTAAAATTAATGTTACTTATAAGTAAATCAGACAAGTTAACATAACATAAATGAAGAACGATATGAAAACCGGAAAAAGAGGCCATTGCATGAAAAAATGACTTAATAAATTTCATTAAAAAAGAAAAAACAATAACATGACAATTACACTAGATTCGTGACAAGATACCTCATAACGCGACAGCTCGTAACTTCAATAGTGATCTCTACTCCTAGGTAATTGAATTTCATTACTTGTACAATTTTGCCATCTATTTCTAGTTTACATCTACGCGGCTCTTTACTGTTCACTATACATTTAGTTTTTTCTACTGATATTCTCATATTAAGTTTGTTTGCTGTGATATTGAAGGTGTGGAGCTGCCTTTGTAGGTCATCTTCGTTATCAGCAATTAGTACTACATCATCGGCATAGCATAGTATCGTGATTTTATGCTCTCCCAAGTGGTATCCGTGTCGTTTTATTACTTCGTGAATTATTTGATTCATCATCATATTGAATAACAATGGGCTGAGCGAGTCTCCTTGGCGGATTTCTCCTGTTAGTTCTGTGCATTATATTTCTCCTGTTGGCATTATAACTGTGGTCTTGTTGTTCTTGTTAATTTAATTAATAATCCACATTATCTGATGGTCTATTTGTTCAGCTTGTAATAAATTTAAGATGTCATTTCGCTTCATCCTGTCAAAAGCACTTATTAATATTTTAATTTTTAATTGTAAATCTACAAAGTACATGTATGCTGGTTTTCCATATTCAATAGACTTCTTTATTATTTGTCTGATATTAAAAATTTGCTTCTATTATGCTGCGGTTCTTCCGGAAGCCTTGTTGTTCATCTGCCATGTTCGCTTTTTCCTCGATTTTATCTTTTATGACTACTGTTAACAACTTTAATGTACTATTTATCAGACTAATGGCTCTATAATTTTCAGCATTTCTCGAGAAACTATTTTAAGTATCGGTAGCAGGAGACTTTCCTTTCATTCCGCTGGTAGTACTCCGGTATTAATTATATCGACGAATAATTTTACGAAATCATTGTGTACCTTATCAGGACCAGGTGCTTTCCTGTTTTTTAATTTTTTTTTGTTCGTTCTTGTAGCTCTTCTTCTGATATTAGTACTCTATCATGGTTTCGTTAATGATTATTTCTCTGTTCTCTTCTTCTCCTTCTCCATATAATTTCTGAAATGTTCAGTCCATTGTAAAGTGTACCGCCACCTTGCATGTATCCTTATCTTTCTCTCTTTTAGAACTACAATACTCCTTTCTAGCCTGTTTCTTCTCGTTAACCTTCTGTTGCACCTCATCGTTTCACCATCAAGTTTCTTCGTCTTTAGGGGGCCCTTTACCAGGTGTTTTCCTAGAAGTTTCTCTTCTACTTGAACCACAACTTTATTGTTGGCTTGTCACCAGTCATTTACCGTATATTTTTCCTCAAGTTCTTCCAGAATTCTACTCTTCAAGATTATTACTAAATCCTCATCCGTTTACTTCCACCACTCTACTTTCAGGTGTGCTACTGGCTTTTCCTTCCGCCTCACCTTTATCTCCGTATCCACTATTACCGGTCGGAGTTGACTAGCTCCACACTCACTCTTATTACTTTACAGTTCGTAGCCTCTTTTATCGGTCAGATAGTTGAGCGGGCTGGGCAGCCGGTTCTCATTCGCTTCACTGCGAGTGGTTTAGTAGATGAGTGGATGTGGGTTCGATCCCCAGCTCGGTGTACAGAAAACAAAAAGGCCAACGCAGCAGTTTAGTTTTCAGCAAATTCTAGATCAATCTGCGGTTCAGACTAGAATATGCTGGTGTCTGATCGGCCTATGGTAGAGCAGTACGGCGAGAGATAAGGGCTTGCGGCTCGGTGATACTCCTCCATAAATCCCTACCGGAAGGGCGTGGCGCCTAAATACCGGTATATATATATATATATATATATATATATATATATATATATATATATATATAAATTTCCAGAATTCCAATTCCAGATAAAACTGATAAGCAAAGAAAAACCACAAGTATTAGAAGACACAAATAAAACGTGGAATGGAATAAAAAGCTGGATATATTCAGTGGAACAAGAGTGCACATCGCGTAAAACCCAAAAGAACAAACATTGGATGTCAGGGGAAGCACTAGAGTTAGTGGAAAAAAGAAAAGCTATGCTAAAACATATCTCAAAAACAGGAAGCAACACTCAAGAAATAGCGGAGATAAACAGGAAAATAAAATGTATGTGCATCAGAGGTAAAAACAACCATATAAATAACGTGTGTCAAGAACTGGAGCAACATGCAAACCGCCATGAAAGTCATGAACTATTTAAAAAAGTTAAATATTTAGCCCGAGAGTTCAGGCCACAACTTCAAGCCATTCAAGACTCTAATGGAGAAGTAAAAACCGACATAGAGAGCATCGCAGAGACCTGGAAAAATTACTGCTCAGAATTATACAAAGACACTTCAAAAGATGACGCATCAGTCTCAGAACACAAAAAACATGCAATCAGAGAGGCTGAACCAATCATTTTACGAGCAGAAGTAGAGAAGGCTCTTAACCAACTAAGAAACAAAAAAACTCCAGGAATCGATGGCATAACAGCGGAGACTCTAAAAGCAATAGGCGAAATTGGCGTAGATGTAATGCTGGATATGAGCAACATGATATGGATCACAGGTGAATGGCCTGATGAGTGGTGTGAATCAACCTTGATCCCTATCCATAAAAAAGGATCACTAACCATATGCAGCAATTACAGAACCGTTGCCCTTATCCCTCATGTAAGCAAAATCCTGCTACATATAATCAATGAACGGCTAAAGAACTTTCTACTTCCAGAGATAGCCGAAGAACAATGTGGATTTGTACCAGGAAAGGGAACGCGTGAGCAAATACTCAACACCAGACAGATAGTAGAAAAAGCGAGAGAACATAACATACCAATGTTGCTCTGTTTTGTAGATTACACAAAGGCTTTTGATTCAGTAAAATGGGATCCTCTCTGGAGTATAATGGAAAATATGGGAGTACCTAACCACCTAGTTAACCTAATAAGAAATCTGTATAATAAAAACTCAGCCAAAGTTAAAGTACATGGAATATATTCAAATGCATTCAAAACAGAGAAAGGAACTAGACAAGGTTGCATACTATCACCATTATTGTACAACATATTCTGAATATATAATGAAAAAAGTACTAGATGAATGGGATGGAGGAATCACTATAGGAGGCAGAAAAATCAGTAACCTGCGATACGCAGATGACACACTTATACTAGCAGCGAATGAAGTCGAAATGAGACCATCATCGAACGGCTAAGCCGAATAAGTGAAGAATTCGGACTTCAATTCAACACCAGAAAAACAAAAATAATGATTGTAGACAGAGCAAATAATAATCTACCGCATATACGCCAAATAGGGATTTTCGAAGTAGTCGACAGATTTGTATACTTGGGCTCTCTGATAACCAACAATGGTGATTGTTCCTCAGAAATCAAACGTAGACTAGGAATGGCCCGAACCGCAACTGCTAAATTAATTAAAATATGGAAAGACCGAACAATAACAAGGAATACTAAGCTTAGGTTGGTCAATGCCCTTATTTTTCCCATTGCTACATATGCAGCTGAAACATGGACTCTCAAAAAAATCGATAGGAGTAAGATCGAAGCCTTCGAAATGTGGGTATATAGAAGAATTCTACGCGTGTCCTGGACAGAACATAGAACCAACCTGTCAATTCTGGAAGAGCTTCATATAAAAGACAGGCTACTAAAAAAAGTAAACCAAGCATACCTAACCTACTTCCGCCACATAGCTAGAAGAACGGGCACCATGGAACTATTGGTAGTAGAAGGCAAGGTAGAAGGCCGAAGACCAAGAGGAAGATCTCCAATACGATGGGTGGACCAAATGAAGAGTTTGGTGGGAAAATCCCTACATGAAGCCGTCCATATGGCACAAGATCGCAGTCAATGGATACAGCAGACTAATAATATTTAGGGTGTCACTATGCCCTGACAAGGGCTAAAGGATTGAGGAGGAGGATATATATATATATATTTATATATATATATAAATATATATATATATATATATATATATATATATATATATATAAATATATATATATATATATATATATATATATATATATATAATAACCTCTTTTAGCTGACTTCTACACAGTACAAAATCTACCTGATTTTCCCTTTCCACGCTACTATAGGTAACATACGGTCTTCAATCGTAATAAAACACGTATTAATGACAGCCAAATCTCATGCCACTGCAAAGTCAATCACACTATTTCCTTCGTCATTTCTCATTCCTATCCCAAACCTACATGAACTCTTATTTCCATTCGTTGTTCAAAATAATACCTACTGCATTTCTGCCGTGACTGTTCGAACTACTATATATTAGCTTGCATCCGTCTCCAAGATCATTACCTTTCCAACAAGTTTTCTGCACACAAAGTACACCAATTCTTCTTTTCTGTATCAAATCAGCGAGCTCTCTTTCTTTACCTGTCATGATTAAGACGTTGAGAGTTGCAACCCTCAGGACAGAGTGGAGAGTTGCATCCAGTAATGCTAAATTTCCTAAAAAACTCAATGTTGGTATTTTACGGTTACGCATAGGTATAGTTAGGAACTGTCGATGTTATGAAGTCTACACTTCATAACATTACCGATTCCCACGGATTGACTTATTTCTGTTGTTCTCTAAACAATTATTTGGTTATTGTTGCTTCTGCTTCTGCTCTAGTCTCTGCTTTGTATGTTAATATAGGCCTTATAGCAGCTTTATGTGTTCTCAATTTAGCCTCAATGCCAATATTTTTATTATGCCATATTATGTTGTTTAGGCAGCCAACTATATTCAACGTCGTCATAGTCTGATATTTCTATGCCGACGTATTTAAAGTTCATCTCTTGCTAGATAAATCATCTACTCATCTCGAGTTTACATCTTACAGATATTTTGGATATTGTCATACATTTTGTTTGTCAAGATATAGTGATTAAATTCCAGAAGGCACGCTTCTAATAAGTAAGCAATATTTGCGAGATATCTATATAGCAGATATAGCAGAATTCGTGTAGTGTGCTATGAGGATGACGCAACCCTGAATGCAGAGAATAAGAACGACCTACAAAGACAACTTCATAGTTTCTACCAAGCATGTAGTCGGTTTAATATGAACATATCCACGCAGAAAGGCGAAGAAAATTACTATAGCTAAACATCCAATTAGATGTAAGCTTATAATGGAGAACAAATCCGTAGAACAGGTAAACCAATACAAATACGTCAGCGTTGATTTATTCAGTTATCACGACAAAGTTAGAGACCTAAGGGGGCAGAAAATAAGGCCACAGTCATATTTGTATGTTCAAGTTGTCTGGAATAACCCATACTTGTGAACTGTGAGGGAAAACTAGAAGGAGCAGAATAAGAAATAATATCATTAGGGAACAACAAGCCATACAAGATGTAGAAATACGCCGTACAAGAGAATGTTACAATCATGTAAAAAGGATGGAAGATCAGAGGCTATCAAAAATAGCGCTAGATAGATATCCAGCTAACAAGCGATCGCCAGGAGAACATCAAAGTAGATAATTTTTTTACTTATACAATCATACTATAGGGTAACTAAAGTTAACTTTAGTTTTATGGCCTGATGATTTGTTATAACAATAAGTTCAATAATATGTGTGTGCCAAAGACATATCCAGCTGATTGGCAATTACGTGAAATTGGTCGGTGATGGTTTGGCTATAAATGACAGAAAATAATTTTAGTAAGGAATAAGAAGAATATCCATATATAGGCCATATACAAACCATGGAAAATTATACATTTTTCACAAAAGTGCGCATTAAATACATACCTGAAATGAAATACTCCTGCATATTCTTGAGAAAAGCTTTGATTATCTGGTATAATCCGCTGCATTATTTTATTATTATCTGTTATGTTTGCCAAAGCAGCCAAAAACCAGCAATCGCCCAAAGTTCCTTGTCTAACATCGAACCTGTCTTCATTCGCTTCTAGAAATACTGGATCGGAAACTATTTCCTTTTACAATAAATACAATTATTTTTATAAATAATTTTTAAATAAGTTTTATATTAAAAATTAAAGTGTAAAAGTTTTTATACGTCATACGACGTAGAATTATGTGGAATACAAAAAAAAAGAAATATTTGAGAAAATTTTGCACATTTTCATACGTTTAACTATTTTTTTTTTTTTTTTTGAAAATATGTGATGTAAAATTATCTTCTAAATAGAAAATTTAGTCAAGTATAGAATCGGTTACAATAGAGTGTTATGACGCATTTCATCATCACTGTTTTATGAGACGCTCGGGCTGAGGATTTGAGCACGGAAAGATTAACGAATTTGTCCTTCTAGGTCATATATTTGGTCATTTATTTCAACAAATCGATTGTAGCTTTTGCTTAAAGATTTAATCTTTTAAATATTTCGTATAGCACAAAGGACAGAAAACGATATTATCAAATCGCTTTCATTCAAGGCCACCAAAGTAGGTGGGACCTCTGTACGCTAACTATTGCAGTGGTCAAGTTTTAGGAGACATTCATTGGACTTTTGAGTTAAAATTTGTATCAACCCAAGTGTCTGATGAAGCAGGGATACTGAAATGAATCATAACACTCTATTAATACCGCTTCGAGCACGGTAAGTTTAACTAATTTGTGTCCTCATAGGCCATATATTTAGCAATTTATATATATATATATATATATATATATATATATATATATATATATAATGAATACTGGATATTCGTGACTGTCAATTTAAACAAACAACAAAGTTTATTGGGGCTGCAGTCAGAAGTTTGGCCGGGATGTTACAGAAACACTCTTTTGACTTTTGGTCTAGCTTTCGGAATTGTTTAATTCCTTTATCAAGACACTGTAATTAGAAAAATGTGTAAATATTTACAATATATCACAAAATATCAGTGTACTTACTAGTCGTTGAGATTATTTGTACGAAGCTATGACACTCAACATTAATAACAAACATATACACTAAAACTTATACAATAATTAATACAACAATACATTTTAAAATTTAGGTAAAAATAATAAAAGTTCTAAAAAGTTTGTTTTCTACATCTTCCTGGTGTTGTGTTTTAACTAACCCATAGAGACCATTTTTTTTTTTTTTTTTTTTTTTTTTTTTTTTTTTTTTTTTTTTTTTTTTTTTTTTTTTTATTCTCTATGGGTTAGTTAAAACACAACACCAGGAAGATGTAGAAAACAAACTTTTTAGAACTTTTATTATTTTTACCTAAATTTTAAAATGTATTGTTGTATTAATTATTGTATAAGTTTTAGTGTATATGTTTGTTATTAATGTTGAGTGTCATAGCTTCGTACAAATAATCTCAACGACTAGTACGTACACTGATATTTTGTGATATATTGTGATATATTTACACATTTTTCTAATTACAGTGTCTTGATAAAGGAATTAAACAATTCCGAAAGCTAGACCAAAAGTCAAAAGAGTGTTTCTGTAACATCCCGGCCAAACTTCTGACTGCAGCCCCAATAAACTTTGTTGTTTGTATATATATATATATATATATATATATATATATATATATATATATATATATATATATATAATATATTATATATATATATATATATATATATATATTATGTATATATATATATATATTTATATATTATATATATATATATTTAATATATATATATATATATACATATATATATATGTATACATATATATATATATATATATATATATATATATATATATATATATTCTAGTCACCTTCATGAAGGTGAAGGTGACTAAAATACTCTTCTAGTCACTAGGTCACTAGTGACTCTTCTCCATTGCTTCTTTGAAATCTGTTTTCCAGCTTCTGGGTGGCTAACCTTGTTTCCTTTTTACTACTGCGAAATTCTATCTTTTATACCTTCTATCATACCTTCTTCATTTATAGTTTTCTAATTTCATCACAAGTATTTATAATCGAGCATTGCTTCAAATTAGATTTTTCTGTATCGGGTCTTACTTGGTTTCATCGCAAAATTACCCTATATTTCGTCCTCTTCACATTTATTTTTATTCACACTTTTTCGTATTACTACTACAGTAGTGAAGTAAATAGTGATCAGTGCAGTAGTGTCTGGGGGCTTGGGAGACTGAGACCTCGGAAGTCCTGAAGAAGACATCAGAGAGGATGTCGAAAGCTCGGCGCAATGGAAATCAACGCGGTTCAATCCGAAAGACTGGTGAGTTTAGTATTAATTTTTATAATAGTGTTAATCTTAGCTCTAGGTTTAATATTTAATTTATATATAATAAATTATAAAATATATATATATATATATATAAATATATATATATATATATATATATATATATATATATATATATATAACCTAACCAATTTCTCTGATAATATTGTAGGTAATTTTGTTTAAATCTATAGGAATATTTTTGTTTGTCTAAATTTAAAAATACATCTGTCTTAATTTTTTTTTTTCCATTTGAACAGTTTGGAAATAATTTGAAAAAAAAGTATCTCATTATTCGTTTCTACCATTTTATGTAATTTAAAATGGTTGCGATTTATATAAACGATTTAACAGGTTGATATAAAATTCTCTTAAACATCAAAACTTTTCATGGCGGTGTTTTGATTTACAGCACATTAAGATTTCTACATAACTAAAAAGATTATCATAATATATAGATTACCTGGGGTCGTAGCCACTTAATTCTGTTCTTGTCATTATCCCACTGTTGTCCGAGTTCTATTTTTTCTATTTGAAATTGTGAATCTTCGAATAATGCATTGTTCGTTAGATATTTCTTTCTAATTTCTTCATAATTTTGCAGAGCACCTCTAGCTTTTAGACCTGAGTATTTTTCTCCTAGCTAAAAGATAGTAGTAATGAAGCCAAAAATTAAAAAAAAAAAGATTTTTAGTGGTAAATAGTAGAAGTAGATTTAGAAAAAATGAGTAATATCAACATTGATTAGATATTTTACAAAGATTAAAAAACTACTACGAAAAGTCGTGACACAAAATAAAAAAAAGCCCCAATTTGTTAATGTTATAGGTCCATATAACTTAAATATTAAGACATAAAAAATTTTAAAGTATGGTTGAATTTATGATTTTCTGAATTAAATAGTGGCAATATGTGGAATTGGTTTTTCCATTGGCAGCTTTAAATTAAGTTTTCCATATTTTAAATGTCTTTCGGTCTGATCTGGGTATATTTTGGGCATAAAACTATAACTTATAAGTGAGATTATAAAGGTATCATTTATTCTTACAGTGCTTTAAATTAACTTTAATCAAACACCAACTTGTTTACAATATTTTAACTGAATGACTATAAACTTCAAAAACTAAATTACAACTGGTATTAAACTGTCAACAACATCTATTTGTACACATTTTCTGACGTTATAGACTTCATTAGACATTTCAAAATTTTTCCAGAGCATCTTGAATATTGTAGAATATTATTATTTCTTCTTTTTCGTCAAGAGACTTCTTCTATGTGGCAGAAAACTTACGGAACTTTCGTAACACTGCTACCTTCTTTATAGTTATTCGCCCCGAATAACTGGTCTATTACGGACCGATTGAAGCCAATAGGATAGATCAGTTTCATTGTACGGAGCTAATGTCTTGATATCAACTACCTTGAAATTACTTCTAGCTGAAAACTGGATTCAGTAGATTAGATCATTATTTTCTGCAGGATGGTGTACGGGCATTCCCAGTTTCGTTAAAGTTTCGGACAAACTCCTTTCCTGCGTGTGGGATTGTATAACCATACTGAGTCACTTCTTTCGAAAGTTTTACCTGTAGCATGCATGTGATCATCATAGATGGAGAATCACCAGTGTATATTCGGAACTTGTATAGGCTAACAGGAATAGAGTAATTAAGGTATCCCAATATTTTTGATTATCAGCGACAAACATTGAAAGGTATTGACAAATAGTTGTATTATGCATTTCGACCATTCCGTCTGATTGTGGATATAGAGGCGTAGTGCGAGTTTTCATTAACTTTTGCCATAATTCTGATTCAAAATTTAGTCATTGATCACAATGTAACTCTAAAGTTTAAGTTAAAATTTCTTAAGTTAAAACTCTTTAAGTTAAAATTTCAGTCTATTTTAAAAATTAATCGATTGCGACCATTAAGTATCCATTTTCTCCCTCTCTGTTATCGAAAGTGGACAAAAATATCTACTGCAAATCGTTCAAAAGGCTGTTCGGAATGACAGTGTGCTATTTTACTAAGACTTCTTGTTCTAGGGCCTTTTCTACGGTTACATAACTAACATTTTCTACACCAATATTCTACATGTCGGCAACAATTGATCCAGTAAAATCTGTCTCGAACTCTGGCCAGTATTCTTTTGACTATAAAATGTCCCCTAGAAAGGCTGCTACAAAGTTATTTTAACACACTTTTAATGTGTGATTTTGGCAGTACCATCTGTTAAACTATAGGTACTCCGTCGAGACTTTCCCACTTCCGATATAATAGACTATTAAGAAGATACATATATTCCAATTGAGCCCAGTACGCCATTATAGTTGTATTGTATTTGATTATTTCCTGCCCAACAAGTCTTAGTGATATTGTAAAAAAGATCTTTCAGATAAACAAATAAAAAATACTATGTTCCCATTACATGTTTAATAGCTCTTTAGTATCTAATTAGAAATTTGCAACAGATATACTCTTTTACTTTAATGAGATGAAAAAAATACTTTGAGGAAAACCTAAATGCAGACAACGGATATGATCAAAACGAGACAATATTTTTTACGGCGGAGCAGCACATCCAAAATACGAGTTATGAAGAAGTAGTTCCAATAATAAAGAAACTAAAAAACAGTAAAGTGCCAGGAACAGACGGAGTTGCAGCAGAAATGTTGAAATATCTTCTTCTTCTTCAAGTGCCATCTCCGCGGCGGAGGTCGACAATCATCATAGCTATTCGGACTTTTGAGACTGCTGTTCTGAAAAGTTCATTTGATGTACACCCGTACCACTCTCACAGGTTGCACAGCTATGACATTCTACGCCTCCCTATGCTTCTCTTTCCTTGAATATTTCCCTGCATAATCAGTTGGAGCAAGGTGTATTTCTCTCCACATGTAATATATGTGCGAGATATTCCAATTTTCTTGTTTTAATTGTATTTAAAATTTCTATTTCCTAATTCATCCTTGTCAGAACCTCTTTATTTGTGACGTGTTCTATCCACGATATTTTAAAAATTCTTATATACACCCACAGTGTAAGGGATTTTATATCCCTTGTACATAGCACTCTTCTCATTTTATTGAAATTTTCTCTAGCCTTTTCTATTCTGATTTTGATGTTCTGAATGTAATCATTTGTGGAGTTAACCATCGTTGTTAAAATATGGAGGACCAGAACTCTGGGGAAGAATCCATTACCTGATAAAGTTAGTTTGGACTAAGAACAAATCCCGGAGGAATGAGCAGTTGGTCTTATACAGCCAATATATAAAAAAGAAGATAAGAGGGAATGCCAGAATTACAGACCAATTACATTGCTAAATGTAATATACAAAATTCTTTCTGGCATTATCTACACTAGATTGTCAGAATACTCCGAAAATATAATTGGTGATTATCAAAATGGATTCAGACCAATTAGAGCCACTACAGACAACATATTCATACCTAGAACAATACAAGATAAAGCTTATGAATACGACATAGAACTATATAATATGTATATAAACTTTAAACAAGCTTATGATAGTGTGAAAAGAAACAAAATGCTGGAAGACCTCCGAAATCTAGGTATACCAAAAAAATATATCAGAATCATAAAAAGGCCCCTTCCTTGTTCGACATCAACATGGGGTTAAGGGAGGGAGACGCACTTTCAACGATGCTGTTCAACCTAGTTCTTTAAACAGTCATCAGAAAAACTAATGTATCCGGCAGAAACACCGAAACAGTACAAATTACTGCATATGCAGACGATGTCGCCATTATTAGTAGAAGCAAAATACGACGAATTGAAACGGTAAAGAAAATTGGTCCTAAAACAGAAAAAGGGAGTTTTAACTAAACAAACCAAAAACTAAGTACATGACTGTCAAAAAAACACCTGATAATGAAAATAATATAGCAAATACACAACCATACCATTGAACGTGTCGATGCCTTCACATATCTGGGCACAGAAATCAATTAAAAGAATTCCGTAAGTAGCGAAGTTAATGCACGTATCTCCAGTGGAAATCGTACATACTATGCTAATAAAAGATTGATGACATCGAAATTATTACACAAAAGAACCAAAATGACTATCCACAGAACTTTGATTAGACCAGTAGTAACCTATGGTTGTGAAACCTGGATAATGACGAAAAAAGAGAAAGCCTAACGCAGGACATTCTAAAGAAAGATACTGAGAAAAGTATATGGCCGGGTGCAAGAGAAAGACGGCACATGGAGAATTAGGAGAAACGACGAGGTTGATGAACTGAATGAAGTGTATAACATTGTAAGATTTGTGAAAAGTCAAAGATGGCTAGGACATGTTCAGCGACAAGAAGACATGAAAATGACAAAGAAGATGTTACAGTGGAAATCGGTAGGAAGGTGTAAAAAAGGAAGGCCCAGGACGAGATGGTTGATGACGTAGAAGACGACCTAAAAACCATGAATATAAGACAATGGAGAAGGGCCCAAGAGAGATATGAATGGAAGGATATAACCAGACAGGCAAAGACCCACCCAAGGTTATGATACCAAAAGAAGTTATTTTACTATTAGTATACAAATTAACAATTCTGCACTTTATGTCTAAAGATAAAAACAGACAGAAATATTTGACAACAGAAAATTTTATATCGATTGGAAATTTGAATTTAAATATCGATTTGAAATTTGTCTACGAAATTTAGCTGCCTTTTACCGAAAATTTTAATTAATTTAAAAATTTTTCGCCATTATTTTATGACATTACATTGGGAATTAATAGCTCGGCCATAAAAATTCAGTTATCACTAACTATCTAAAAGCAGTTGTCAAGGAATATCTAACCAAAGCACACAAGATAAGTCTAAAGGACACAAGAGATGTTAAAGTTATTGGACCAAAGGCTATAAATAAAAAACTATTTGGCAAAGTTCTATAAATTAGACAGAAACATCAAAAGAACGATAAAAGATGCAAAATAATAGTTGTGAACTAAAAACTAATATGAAGAAATTGACACCTATAACAGAAAATACGATAACTTCATTTACAAAAAAGTAAGAGATATGTAGCAGGAATTCATAAGAAAAGCCACATTGGTGTACTTAAGCACAGAAATAGAAAGATAATCACGCATCCAAAAATAAGCTACAGAGCTCTGAAACCGTCCAGGAGTTAATGAACAGAATCACAGAGGTGAGTCAGAGATACGGACTTTCACTAAACACTAAGAAAACAAAATACATGATGATCTCTAAGAAAGAACAGCAATTTGGGCAAATCAGCGTAAACGGTCAACAAATAGAAAGGGTACAAACATACACCTACCTTGGTACGAACGTCAATGAAAATTGGGACCATTACATAGAAATCAAATGTAGAATAGAGAAAGCAAGATTTGCATTTCAATAAATGGCTAAGTTATTCAAATGTCATGATTTATCAATGCCCATAAAAATCAGGCTACTACGATGTTACATCTTTTCTGTACTGTTGTACGGAGTTGAGTCATGGACTCTCACAGACGCCACCTGCAAGAAAATTTTGCTTTTGGAATGTGGCTTTATCGTCGCATCCTAAAGATATCGTATACCGACCACGTTACTAATGAGGGTGTTCTGTTGAGAATGAAAGAAGAACAAGAGAGAAAAAGAGCTGTTAACCACAATAAAAACAGCCAAAATCGAATACCTCGGTCTCATCATGAGGAACAGCGAAAGATATGGACTGCTGCAACTAATCTTGCAGGGAAAAGTAGAAGGAAAACGGGGACCGGGAAGGCGAAGGATTTCCTGGCTGAAAAATCTACGAATGTGGTTCAACACAACAACCACAAATCTTTTTAGAGCAGCAGTGTGCAAAGTGCAGATTGCCATGATGGTCGCCAACATCCGAAACGGATAGGCACTACAAGAAGAAGAAGAATGTATATAGAGATCGCAATAATATTTGCCAAAAACCGAAAAGCAATGGAGCGCGACCAAATTTCTACAAAAGTATTAAAACTGATAAACTTAGGTAATAACAATAATATTAAATATGTTTAAAAAAGAAAATTCGAATATTTGGGCCATCTAATGTGGACACAACAATACATATTCCTACAAAATAAAATGTACGAAAATATTGAAAGGCGAAGGAATCCAGACCATAGAAGAATGTCCTGAATGAGAAGATGTCCTGGATTTAAGAGAGTGGTTTGGTTGTACCACAAATAAACTGTTTAGAAGCTAGAATGACATATATGCCATATCTAAATTATATTAAAGCATTATATCAAATTTTAGAAATTTATTGTTCCAAAAATACTGAGTATTTTTAACGAGCAAATAGATAATTCTACTACTGTATCTATCTAAAAGGTATTAAATTTGTAAGCAGATACTGTAAGCACACAAAAATAATTCTCCTGAATTTGACTGTATTCAGTGGATAGTAGAAACAGTGTTCTGTTTTATGGTTGATTTATATTAGCAAGGTTCACTACAGAAACGTAATCAAATAGTCGTAATCATTTTATAGAATACTTTGTATAAAAGTTTTACTTACCAAATAAATTCTTTCCGAACCAAAACCGCCACTCATCTTTTCCACAATTATTATCCTTAACTTTTAACTAAATTGCATAACATGCAGTGACATATTCTAGAGTCGAAACAGGTATGTTCGATTTATTATCTTATCAAAAATAAAAATATATCTATAATTTCTATACCTGAATTTTATCTTTTATAATTAAACGGATTATAACAAACAAATATATAAGCAATTACCCAGTTGTAGAATATTTATTTATGATCAAAATAATATGATGTTAATACTTTTTAGCGAAAAGCGAGCGGTTTAATTTAATATGTCATGCCTTATTTCATAAGTATTACTCCTTATTCATCACTCAAAAACATTCGTTTTTCAAATATTTTATTAGGGGAATTCCATTAAAATTATAAACTGTATACAGTATATAATTTGTCATCAGAACTATGATACATACATATATCAAGTGGTGATTCTTGAGGAAGCAGTCAGTTTATTTGGCCCACAAGACAAAGAAAACTCTTTGACTTACTGTCAAGCTTTCGAATTTAATTTAATTCTTGTTCGAGACATCTGATAAAAAAAAAGAAATATGAAAATTAACTAGTTAAAATTGTTGACAATAAGTCAAAGAGTTGGCTTTGTCTTGTGGGCCTAATAAATACCACCATCTTATATATATATATATATATATATATATATATATATATATATATATATATATATATATATATATATATTGTTATGATATGTAAAATCAAGAAAATATCGGTTTGTTTAAAAATATTTCAAAGTTCAAATAATTAAAATAATTCAGATAAGTCGAATTAATAAACGACAAACATTTCGAAGAATGGAAGTCCTTTTATTTTTGGATTACCTATATTGAACAAAACGTAAGCTATGCATAAATTATAATCTTTGTTAAAATATATTTGAGTGACGTGAGCGAACTTAAGACAATTGAACCGGGTTTTACAAATACATTAGTGCAGTGATTAGGACAATAGAATAGAATGTAGAAAGATATGTTTTGTTAGTTCTTAAGAATTGTAGAAAAATATTATTTGTAAATAAGTTTTAGGAAATTTTATAATTGTAGGTAAAAATTTGTGTGTTATCGAAATGAAGAAATGGGAGATGTATGACGCGTTTTGATTGGATGAGATTGAAAAATGTGGGAGGTTTGGTTTGAGAATGAGACGTTAGTTAGTTTTGGAAGAAAGAAAAGATAGTCAGTTGGTTTCCAAGGGTAGAAGCCGAACGGCCGTTGTTCTCGGGTAGTTTCCCAGAGGTAGGAAGCAGTAGCAGTGAAAGTTTGTGAGTTTTCGTGTAGTTAGTGTATCTGATAAAAGCTGATCCAGTAAAAGATTGTAAGTTATATTTTCTACTTATATTCCAAGAGTCACTATTCAGGCCAACGAGAGATTCAGTTTATTGTAAAGAAAAGATATTCCAAGAGTCATTTTTCACTCAGGCCAACGAGAGATTCAGTTTATTGAGAGAACAAGAAGCTAGTATAATTTGAACGATTCGTGCATTTGAAGGAGATCATTAAGGACGATAAATTTGCAATAATTTGTTGTAAGATTGCTGATTACCTAGGGAGCGGCTGAGAGTAGATAAGATAGTCTACAAGGAACAAGGATTTGGACCACTCATCATCAGAGAGAGATAGTCTTGTTTTCTGCAGTTTTTCTTTTATTGATAACACAATTTTTACACTTAATTTAGAAAGGATATAAATATTTTGATTAGAAGATTTAGAATAATATTTGGGATTTTGAGATTTCAACTAATATTGTTTGTACCATTAATTTTGAAGGTTCACGTACGTAGAACAAAATTTTGAGAATCATTATATGAGATAAGAGAATTATAAAGTGTGATAGAATCATAGTCATATCATATATATATATATGTATATATATACATATATATATATATCAAACAAACGGTATTAGATTTAATTTCGATGCAGGACATCCGCAAGCCGCTTATACATATTTCAACCTCATTAGGTGGGGGACAAGGAAGGAGCCTCCACGAGATCAATAGTGCCACATCAACTGCAAAAGAAACACTATTGACGGCGTCCCCTGGAAACGTCTACTAGTAGACGGCTAATCCTTCCAACACCGGACCAAACCAAATCCGATGGCAAAGATCAAGCCACAACGGTTCTTCTCAGAGCCAACACTGACAGTAGCGAGCATAAATATCGAGGGCATCACTACAGCCAAACAAGACATCTTATCAGAATTCTGCATGAACACGAAATGTGAGATATTGTGTATCCAGGAAACCCACAGAGACCTAACTGCAGCGAGACCGAAAGTCTCTGGTATGAAACTGATTGCGGAGATACCACACAATAAGCATGGGAGCGCGGTATTTGTGAGAACTCAAACCATAGTCTCATCTGTGGAAACAACAAATGTACACGGTATAGAGATAATAACCACTGAGATCGGAAAATGCACAATAACCTCGGTATACAAGCCCCCAAACCAGCCTTTTATATTTTCACCCCCAACTAATTTTCAATCACAAGCCAATCAGCTTGTACTGGGAAACTTTAACAGTCACAGTTTACTCTGGGGCTATACAGATTCGGACGCAAATGGAGACGCAGTAGAAGCATGGGCCGAAACGAGTGGCCTCACGTTAATCCGTGATCCTAAACTTCCACCATCTTTTCATAGCAAAGTTTGGAAAAGAGGATATAACCCGTATATTTGTTTTTCAAGCAACAACCTCGAAGACCGATGTACCAAAGTAGTATATGGCCCCATACCAAAAACTCAGCATAGACCAATTGGTATAAATATCTTCCCAATTGTCAGACCACAAGCTATTCCATTCAGAAGGAGATTTAACTTCAAAAAGGCAAACTGACAAAAGTATGCAGACATGCTAGATTTTGAACTACTACGCCTTGAACCAAAAGTAGAGAACTACGAAAAATTCGTAGAGGTACTCAAAAATGTGTCTAGAAAAACTATCCCTAGAGGATGTAGACAACAATACGTTCCCGGGATGTCCAGCGAGTCCAAAGAACTAATGAGAACATACGAAACCCTTTTAGCCAAGAAACGGTTGACTGCGGAGCAGTACTACTCCAACAGCTAAGTCAAGCCAGACAGGAAAAGTGGATTGAGACCCTGGAAAAATGGACATGACACATAGTAGCAAAATAGCATGGAACCTTGTAAAAAAACTCAGCGGTGATCCAAAAGAACATAAATCACCTTGCAAGGTTACAGCAAACCAAGTCGCTACTCAACTCCTTACGAATGGAAGAACTACTAACCGATATAAGGACCCAAACACTAGGAGAAGATTGGATTCGGAGACAAACCACCTAGGAACTCCTTTTACACTAAAAGAACTCCAAGACGGTCTGAACAGGTTAAAAAACGGGAAAGCCGCAGGTGTGGATGATATATGCAGTGAACAAATAAAGCATTTAGGCCAAGGAGCAAAAAACTGGATTTTGAAATTTTATAACACCTGCAAAACCTGCAAAATTCCAAAATCATGGAGGAAATCTAAAGTAATAGCCTTGTTAAAACCAGGAAAGGATCCAGAAGACCCCAGTAGCTACAGACCTATTTCGCTATTGTGTCACTTTTTTAAACTATACGAGAGACTCATACTCGCCAGAATAGAAAAAATGTCGACAAGCACCTCATCCCACAACAAGGAGGATTCAGACCTGGCAAATCTTGCACCGGTCAAGTCCTCGGATTAACAGAACACATTAAAGAGGGCTTTGAAGAAAAACTTATAACAGGGGCTGCGTTTTTAGATCTGACAGCAGCCTATGACACAGTAAGGCACAAAACATTGCTCCGCAAATTATACGATACTCTCAATGACCACCATCTGGGAAAGGTCGTATATTCCTTACTGCAAAATAGACGTTTTTTCGTTATGCTGGAGGGTAAAGTAAGTAGGTGGAGAGTTCAAAAAACGGCCTCCCACAGGGAAGTGTTTTAGCACCAATGCTCTTCAATATATACACAAACGACCAACCTACTCCGACCGAAACCAAGCACTTCCTCTATGCTGACGATCTTGCAATATGTGCTCAAGGAAATAGTTTTGAAGAAGTGGAGAAGAAACTCGAAACTGCCTTAAAAACAATGACAGCGTACTACCTGCAGAATTCTCTGAGACCCAATCCCTCTAAAACCCAAGTCTGCGCTTTCCACCTTCGCACAAAGGAAGCCAAGCAAAAACTCCAAATTGTGTGGAATGGTAATACATTAGAACACACAAACCAACCTATATATCTTGGAGTAACTCTGGACCGGTCCCTCACCTACAGACAACATTGCATAAAAACAAGAGGGAAAGTAACAACTAGGAACAGAATACTCAGAAAGCTAACGGGAAGTGAATGGGGCGCACGTCCTGGCGTTTTAAGAACAACGGCACAGGCACTGTGTTTCTCAACTGCTGAATATGCATGCCCCGTTTGGAGCAGATCTGTCCACACCAAACAAGTTGATACTGCGCTAAATGAGACATGCAGGATAGTAACAGGGTGCATGAAACCAACGCCACTTTCAAATCTATATAGAGCAGCGGGTTTTGCAGAACCCTCAACACGCAGAGGCGCTGCAGAATACATAGAGAAAATTAAACAGATCGCGGACGATCGGCATGCCCTGTACAAAGCTCGAACACCACGAAAGCGACTAAAATCTAGGAAAAGCTTCCTTGGAACAGTGAAGGATGAACCGCCTGAGTATTTTCCACTTCCACAGGTTCAATGGATCGGCCAGACCCTAGACTTTAAAACGTGGAAAACCTTGAATAGGATAAGAACGGGGGTTGCTACAGTAAAATCAAACATGGCAAAATGGGGAAAAATAGACCAAGATGATGTGAACTGTGACTATGGAGAAACACAGAATATGGAACATCTTCTTACATGCAGAAACTGTCCTCATCGATGTACCCTTGAAGATTTGTGGCTCGCCAACAAAGATGGAACCGACGTAGCCCGATACTGGGCCGAAATTTTATGAATGACATGTCCGGACACGATAAAGTAAAGTACCTCATTAGGTCCTATCAGAGCGACATATGCATATTATGTCGCTCTGATGAGAT